ATCTATAGATATCACCTTAACATTTGGATAATACAAAATATAATGTAGAATTCGCTTTTATATGATTCTTTTATTTTTTTTAAAACATTAACAGTAAAAAATAATAACATTATTATGTTAATATTGTATGTTGAGAATATGACGTCACGTTGGCTAAAGCAGCGTGACTTGACTGGACCATCTATAAATAGCCCGTTGTTGCAGCATTATGATGATTGAGCCATATTACACCGTCATGTCGAAATCACGCGTAAAATCCTGTGTGAAATAATTTTTTTGGATATTTCAAAATGTGTGTTAGAGCTTTGTAACTTCGGTTCAAGGGGGGGGGGGTTGTCGACAAGATTATTTGAGTAAATAAACACGTTTTGACGAGATCTAGATCTATATTTTGTTACGAAAATACTCCGTATTTCATATTTGAAATTGTAGAAATTACATTTTAAAATTCACGTATTACAAGGTTTGGTGGGGGGGGGGGGGGGGGGGTTATCAAGTTCTATAGCTCTACTTTGCTCCATTTTTAATAAGGTGATTTAACTTTTCTTATAACTCTGATGACAACACAAGAATAGCTAATGTTTAATCAAATTGAACATTAATTAAAAGTCTTTTAAATATATTTTGAATGGTCGATAACAAAAGGGGAGATAACTAGATGCTATCGATTACTTGATCGATCAGTAGGTTTGATCAACAAGGTACTAATTGTTTTAAAAATGTGTATATCAATTTACTACCATAAAGAGAGTGCTACGATAAATAAGGCAATAATTGTTTTTAAATGTATCTATCGACTTACTATAATAAAAAATATGTTACTAATTGAGATAAAAATATATTTTCCGACTTGAACTTCTGTTACTTATGTGCCAGAAAATACGCGGCAAAGTCTTACTACAATATTTTATTCATTCCATTAAAAATATAAGTGTTTTTATAAAACTCGCACCAAAAATAGAAAATAAAGAAATTTCCTTTGGCTAAAATAGAAAATGTAAAACCGTTTGTCCCAAAGTGCATTCAATCTATTTCTTGAATGACAAACGCTTTCATGGGAAAAGTAAATATATGTTTATTTTATTTATACAAGCTTTTGAAATGATCTCTTTATTATGAAGACTTTTAACGTATCGTATTTCATATAAATAAAATGGTCCAAGTGACTTGAATTTCTGGATGAAAATTATTTAAAGAGTTTTAAACGGCCCCGAAGTCGACCATTACTTTAATGCAAAAAAAAAAAAAAAAAATAGAAATTAGCAGATTACTTAATAACAGTGACGGAGTGGTCTAGCGGTAGAGAGCTGGAGTGCTAACCCGTAAGCCTCGAGTTCGAATCCGGGTTCAAGTCAGTATACCGTCCCTGAGTCCACCCAACTCTGATGGGTACCTAACTCACGTTAGGGAAAGTAAAGGCGGCTGGGCATAGTGCTGACCACACTATCTCTTCATATGCCGAGGTCACAGAAACAAGTGAACTCTACTTCACTTGCCCCATAGACCGTCAGGTTTGAAAGGGAAACTTTACTTACTTTACTTTAATAACAGTGGGGTTGTTTTTGTGTGTTTTTTTTTGGGGGGGGGAGGGGGGGGAGTTAGTTGGACCGGTGATGTGCCAATCAGAAGGGCGATTATTTTTAGAAATTGAGAACCGCTCTCTATGTCGCAATGATGATGCCTTTACGTCACACGTAATTCCCCCGCAAACCAATTGGCTGATTATAAATAGAACCACGAATAATCCCGGCCAATGACAGCGGCAAGAAAATGATGGACCAAGAAATGATGACACTCTGACAATCCCTTTGTGAGGTCAAGCTTTCTTCTGTTATTGTGAGCAGACTATAAATAGCCCCACGCGCGGCTCAGTTCAAAACAGTTGTTGGTCGCTCGACCAGCATTCGGAACGTGTTGACTTTAAGGTTAGCTCATCCATAGTAGTGTTTTCTACACAGGCCTACAGTAAGTTGTTTTTTTTTAATTTAAAAACTGTGTACATGTGTGTACATATTATCCTGTTTCGTTTCTTCTAGTTACCGTATTCTAATTTTATTCATATTGTTTTCATTTAAAACAGTTACAATTGTCTGTGGGTTTTTTTTTTTTTTGCTTTTAGTAAATACTAGCAGAATATACATGAAATTTTCAATAAAATGTCAGTATACAAATATGGACGTTTGAGAAAATATAAATAACCTTAACTAACCATAATCTCAACCGTAAATGTAAACGTTTAGTAAATACTGACATGTTTGGTGTAACTTTTCACACGGGACATTTACAAATTACAATGTGTACTGAAGTTGAACGACACTAGTTTTCAGTACTAGAAATATAATTTCGCAATTTCCTTTAAGGACTAAAATAATAGTTTTATTCAAGTTCTAAAAATAAATTGAAAAATAAATGTCGAAATTGCCAGAAGTTTTGCGATTTGAAATTGTCGAGGTGAAGAGGTCAAGAAGTTGCCGTCTTAAGTGTCTAGTTAAGTAGAGAGGGGGGGGGGGAACTATGTGTTGGGGGGGGGAGGTGGGGAGGAGAGCGAAACATGACGTGTCGCACGTGAGCCACATGACCCGCCCTGACCCCACGCGCCCTCACACTTTGACACTTTCGCTTGTCAATATATTTGGCCGTAGGTCGTGTCAATGTATAGTGTCCACGTTCAGCCATCTTGTCTGTCAATGTTTGCCCTCCGGTGTTGTGTAGCTGTCGATGTTGGCTGTCAAATGTGCTCGACCGTCTTGTCATAATTAGTCCTGATTAATCTTTTAGTTCCCTGAGGCCGTGCAGATGGTGTTAATTGCTAATTGATCTGGATTAAGACGGGGAGGTGGGGAGGGAAAGGTTGGGGGACTCATGGTGTAAGAACTATGTTTTTTTATTTCCTTTTTTTTTTACAGATGTAAGTCCCGAGGTTTTAGTAGTGCGGGCCGTCTATGTGAATTACGTTGGTATTGGCCGTCCATGTGAATGTCAGTGGTCACCAGACAGAAACTGTCGAGACCTAAACTAAGTGACGTCAGCCGATAACTTAACCTTTACTTTTTATTTTTGTTTTAAAAACCCTTACCAAACTAAAACAAGCTAAAACCTTCGAATTCATCGTGTGACTGAATGTATAACAATTTAAAATACGTTGTTTTTTTTTATTTTATTTTTTGTTACTTTTTTTTTTTTTTTAAAACCGCGAAAGGTCTCTCTGACTTGTGTTTGGTAACCTTTTAGGCGAGACTGCTCTGATGAGATACATCTGGCTAACTAATGGGTCACATGACCGCGAAACAGATGTACATGTCCCCAGGTCACGTGACGAATTTACATGTCAACTGGTCACATGGTGAAAACGTGGCTCTGGTTGGGTTTCCGGTTCAAAGGTCAAAGTAAAAAAAATAGACACGAACCAGGTTGTGTGTGAGTACCTGTGGGTCCTATGATAACTGAGTTTACACCTGCTGGCCGTCCACAGAGGACAGTCTGGCCGTCCACTTGGGATAGTCTGACCGTCCAGTTGGGATAAGTCTGACCGTCCACTCGCCGTTCTTGACCCGCTAGGGTACATCGAAGATAATGACGTAATAGTTGGTCAATAGAGGAAAAAGTTCCATCCTTTCTATGCCCCCCACCCCCCAAGGTGTAATAACGTCACCCATCATCCGATGCTCCCTGGGTGACAGCTAATATCGATCGTCTCCCAGGTGTTCGTGAAAGGTGTTCGTTAAGGTGTTTATCTAAGCTGTTTATCTAAATGTATTTGGTTCTCGACGTTCGGGAATATTTGACGGGTTTCGTTTAGTTTTCTGTTGTGGAATCTATCAGTCTGGACTGTTGATATGCATACACACACACACACACACACACACACACATATATATATATATATATATATATATATATATATATATATATATATATATATATATATATATATATATATATATATATATATAAGTATATAAAATTTATATTTATATATATATATAAGTATATAAAATGTATTTACGTAGAATGTAAACTATATGATCCCATTGTTTTATTGAATCAGTAACAACGACTATCTTGCACAAGCAACCAACACATTTTTTTTCTCTTTAAACTTCCTTCTCTCCGTCCCTACCATCTGTTTCCGTCCATCTTGACCTCAACCTTGACAACAAAGAGCTCCGTGGGGAGGGAGGGGGGGGGTAATATTTTCGCTGATGTCCCCTTGTCATGTTCTTAGCATTACGCTAAGTAGAGGCTGACAGATTTATTAGCGACACATCGACAGGGTTGCCACACTGGCCGCTTAGATGCTGAATGTGTACACACTTGGGCACGTTTATCTGGCAATGTTGTCATGACAGTTCAGTCCACCGGAAATTTATTAGTGGTTGGATAGAAAGGGCTTTCTAACCACGCCCTGTATCATGGTAAATAAATGAAAGCAATAAAATTATATACATCTCTTCATATGGTGCGTGTGTACAGTCCATTGTAATGCAATGCTCAATCGCAACCTGCATATATTTATAGATTTCGTTCATTCTGTATTTCTAAAATAACCTTGGTGTAATTATGTCTCAAGACATGAGTTTGTATCGAATGTGTTTACATTTTTGTGACAAAAAGCAAGTCTAGAGAAACTTGTTCAGTTAGTATCGAAAGTGTTTGTAACAAAACCCAAGTCTAGAGAAACTTGTTCCAACTTTTGAATGAAGTTTGGCAGATGTTTACACCATAGGGTGGCTTGTTCTAATGACACAGCACGCTTGGGTTACTCTCAACAAAACTAAACTACACATCCCGGCTACAAACCGCGGTGTGTACCAGCTCACGTGTTCGTTATCTTACGGCACATTTACACATACACACACACACACACACACACATATATATATATATATATATATATATATATATATATATATATATATATATATATATATATATATATATATATATATATACATACATATACAAAATATATATTGCTACTTTTGTACTTTTTTTCTCAGATCAGTCTGCGGTAAGATGTAATAAACCAACCATCTACCAGTTTCCACTGTAACTAGTTCACGTCAATCAAATGTCGGCCACGACAACCGCCACCAACACCACCCCCAGCTTGCACAGGAAGAGACCCCTGTCCATCATCGAAGAGCACGACAGCGATGACCACTCGCTGCCAGACAAGTTCCAGGACCACCCCCCGGCCAAAGAGAACCAGGCCCCACCCCGGCGGTCCATCGAGCACTCCCAGAGCCCCACCCCACGGAAGGACAAGCAGGGCAAGACTGGGAATCAGAACATAGTTGCTTCCCCTGGGACTGACCCACGTTCCGGTGCCAGGAATGTCAGCCCAAAAGTTGACCAGTCTAGTCCCAAGTCTCGGCCCTCGCAGTTAAAGACATCAAAACCGCCTGCCCCACCCCGGCCACGTTCTGGCACCAACTCCCCCGTGTCCCCTACCCCAGATGGTAAAGAAACACACTCTAAAAAGAAAAAGGGGAAGAAATCCTTACCCAAACAAAACGAAAGTAGATCAGGGAATAATAGCCCAGTAGGAGCACCCACAAAAACGATTTCGGATACCTCGAATCTTAAGACCTCAACAAATTCTGTTAAAGTCACGGAGTCTAAGAAAAAGAACAGTCATTCCTCTCCTAAAAACTTTCCAGAACCATCCAGAACTATTCAAAATGGCGGACAAGTGTACTTGGATTCCAACCACAACCACGTGCTAAAAATAGTCGGGGACGGGCAGGGTTTAGCGAGAATACGCGAGACGGTGGAACGTCTCAATCTGACGTCATCAGGGACGCCCAACCAATCGTCTTTGACCACCGTGTCTAGTCCTAAATTTAGTCACCGTCTGCGATTGTCTCATAACTCTCGGCCCCTATCCGAAGGCTGCACTTTGGTACCTCCCAGCATTCCCCAAATCACCATCACAACTTCCGGCCCTACCCATCATGCTCCACTCATCGACCCCGAGCAGAGACCCGAGTTAGCTCCAGATAAACAATCAGCCCAAACAAAGAAGCCCCTCCTGTCCAAATACAACTCCTCCAAACACGGAAGTTCCTTGTTCAACCGACGCATCCGTAACGACTCCATCAGTTCAATTTCTGAAGGCGAGCTCAGTGAAGGGGGCGGGGTGGAGAGCGCCGATGAGTCCGGCTACATTCCATCCGACTTGAAACGTCTGCAGGAGACCACAGACAAGCTCCACCTGAGCCCCCGGCGCCCCAGCATCATGCTGTGGCGCCAGAAGTACATCGAGAGCCCCGACTCCCCGAGGGTTAGGACCAACCTGAACGGTGACGCCCCTGACGAGCTGCTGACCAAAGACAGGAAGAAGCGAATCGACGAGGCGCTGGAGTGGCTGAGGAATGAATTGGTGAGTGGTTTGTTGGTTTGTTTCGTTGTCTGGGTCTTTAAACCAGGTTCACTTTTTTTAACTTTGGCTTGTCGTGTTTATGTATCTGTCCCATAGGCTGTTTATTACTATTTCTGGTGTGCTGGTTTGTTTCGTTATGTGGACCAGCTTCACTTTTTATCCATGTTTTTATATTTGACTTTTTATTTTCGAAACTGATTATTCTTTCTTAACGTTTAGTTATACTCGTGATGTGTTTATTTACTTACCACTCAAGAGATTAAGATTACTGTGTTAAAAAGTTACATGTATTGTTATAAGCCAACCTGAACGGATGTGACGTATTCAGACAGCTAAAAATAACTTCACTGTTTACCTCCACAGCAGGAAATGAGAAGCCAGGATCAGATGCTTGCTAGACAGCTGCTGACCATACGACAAGACATTCACCAGGTAGGTCACGTGGTGATGTCACGTGCTAATGTCACATGTCGATGTCACAGGTTGATCCATGCATAAATTAAATTCATTACATAACTGAACGCCTCTCGCACAACGGAACTAGTTTTTCCCATAGATCCCATTTAAATATAAACTTCTTACCCAAAAATAACATCACATGACTATATAAGAAATACAAAAGTTCAGATGATTAAGTTAGTTTGGAATAAAGTGTTCACACCTACGTTTATTAATAGACCTATTAAAAGATACGTTGCTGACATGTAAATAGCATTATCAGCATCTTGGTGTGGGGACTGGGGGAGGGAGAGGGGACCAGTGTTTCTTCCAGACTTTTTCTCCGGGGGGAATGGCACTTGAAATTTTCGGTGGGGGGGGGGGGGGGGGGGCACTGTTAAAAGTATATATTTTCTATATAAATTTCATTTCGTTCGTGGGGGGGGGGGGGGTACAAAATTTTCGGGGGGCTTCCCCCCCCCCCCCCCCCCCCCCCCCCCCCGAAGAGATGCCTGGAAGAAACTCTGGAGGGGACATCAAAATGAAAACGGTGTAGTGAGAAAAATGTTTTGTCCAGTCTAATTTTTAACTGCTGATCCTAAGTTCATGGTAAATCACTTATTGTGTTCATACACCAGGGGTGGGACGAGCGCGACGGAGACGCATAGATAAACAAATATTTTGGTAGTTTAAAACGAAAACAGTTAAAAGCAGTATTAAGGGTGGCGTGACACCGCCCATTAATGAGAGGGGTGACACCCTAATTTATCCTACTGGTCAACACCCGACCTAGTACAGCCCCTGATACTACATGCTTCTGCCATCTTTGTAAACAATACACATTCTAATTTACTGCATTAACTAAGTGAGATTCGGTTCACAACTCGAAGCACTGTTCATAACTGACGCTTGTTTTGGGTAGATTCAGCTTAAAATAGAAATAATCTATCTATCTATATATATAATTCTCTTCTTCGAGCCGTTAGAAAACAAGCTGCAAACGCTATCCCTACCTCCCCACCCCTACATGGTTTTAGTGAGCTGTGTTCACTCTAAATGTTTACAAACAGAGCCAACGATTTTAAACGTAGGGGGGGGGGGAGGGGGGGAAGGAAGGGGGGGGGGGGTTATGGTCCTTAACGAGCTACTTATAGTGTTTTAAAGAAATATTTTCAGTGTCAGCGTTGGTACTGTCGAATTCACAAATTATGAATTATTGAAAATTAGAAACAACTAAATAGCGGCGTATGTTATGCCGCGGGCCGGCTCGTTAAAATATAATTAATACATTCTAAATGTTTTATTGGACTTGTTTCAAATTAAAGTTTCATACTGGTAAAGGGAAGTAACTAAAGAAATAGATTCTACAAACAAAGTTCTAAATTGTCTCCCTTTTAACAATTTTCGTTCTATTCTAGCTGAAGCTGAAAAGATGTACAGAAGAACACCAAGATCTTTTGGATGATTTCCAATCAGAGCTGGAGGATCTGCACGAGTTCTCCTACGTCCTTGACCTTCCCAAGCCCCTCTATGGCAACAACCCCCTCAAACATATTGGCGTCACGCGCCTCAATTTGAGCGCTCGGCGGTTTTCTGCGTGTTGATGTCTGCACAACGCTACGGTGAACTACGTAATCATAATCACGGAGAGTTACGGTGAATTGTGTACACATGGAGAGTTGCGTCAACTGCATACATACGGTGCGGTAAACTGTGTACACACGGAGTTACGGTGAACTGTATACACACGGAGAGTGTTGTGAACTACGGGTGTACGGGTGCGTTTGATGAATGGCATTCTCTATAGCTGTGCTAACAACAACAGTAAACAAATGATGTGCTGGAACTTAGTGAGCCTAGAACTAGATCTACCCCGCTGCATCAGGTTGCGCCCTAAACGTCTGAGAGAATTCTGAGAAAAAGATGAATATGAGGATAAACTGAATGACCTAGAACCATACGGCTACATTATACCACAGTAACAGTACCACACAGCCACACAGAACAACACAGCTACACACTACCACACAGCCACACAGTACAACACAGCCACTCACAGCTACACACTACCACACTGCAATACACACAGCCACATACAACTACACAGTACTACACCGATACACACTACCACACAGCTACACACTAACACACAGCAACACACAACTACACAGTACCACACCGATACACACTGCCACACACAGCTACACACTAACACACAGCTGCACAGTATAACACAGCTAAATTATACCACGGTAAGAATACCCCACAGCTATAAATTACAAAACTGTACCACTCAAAAACTAAATACAAAGCTGAATCCACACAGTAACACAGCTAGACACTAACATACACTACCACACACAACTACACAGTACCACACAGATACACAGTACCACACAGCTACACACTACCACAGCCACACACAACTATACAGTACCACCAGTGTTTCTTCCAGACTTTTTTCTCCGGGGGGGGCACTTGAAATCTTCGGGGGGGCGGTAAACTTTCTTCGGGGGGGGGGGGCGGACACTGCTAAAAGTATACATTTTCTATATAAATTATGTAAATTTCATTTCATTCGGGGGGGCGGTAAAAATTTTTCGGGGGGGCTAAGCCCCCCCCCGAAGAGATGCCTGGAAGAAACTCTGAGTACCACATTGATACACACAGCTACACACTAACACACTGCAACACACAATTACACAGTACCACACTGATACACACTACCACACAGCCACACACTACCACACAGCTACACACTACCACATCACACAACTACACACAGCTACACACTACCACACCGCAACACACAAATACACAGTACCACACCCATACACACTACCACACAACTACACACTAACACACCGCAACACACAACTACACAGTACCACACCCATACACACTACCACACAGCTACACACTACCACACTGCAACACACAACTACACAGTACCACACTGAGACACACAATCACACAGCCACACACAGCTACACACTACCGCACAGCTACACACATCCACACACACTACCACACAGCCACACACACTACCACACAGCCACACACACTACCACACAGCCACACACACAGCTACACACTACCACATAGCTACACAGTACCACACCTCTAAACACTACCATTCTAAAACCACTCAGCCACAAAATACCTCAGAGCTAAAAACAGCTAAAAAGTACCACACAGCAACCCTGTACCACACAAACATACAATACCACACTAAAACCACAATGTTACAATCAAACACAGCTACACAACTACAACTCTTAATAAAATAGCTATGCAGTACCACACAGCTATATGCTACCACTCTAAAACCAACAGCTATGAACTACTACATGAAAACCACATAGGTACACAGACCACACTAATACCACACAGCTACACAGTACCACATGAAAACCACACTAAAACCACACAGCTAAACCATACCATATTAAAACCTCACAGCTACACAGCATCAACATAAGACCACACAGCTACATAGTAAAACACAGCTCTATAATACCACACTAATACCACACAGCTACACATTACCACATTAAAACCACACAACTAAACAGTACCACACAGCAACACAGTACCACATGATAACCACACACTACCACACTATAACCAAACAGCTAAACAGTACCACATAAAAACATAATAACTACCCAGTACCACACTAAATCTACACATTACCACATTAAAACCACACATCTATACAATACTGCCTTAAAACCACACAGCTATACATTATCACACAGCTACACAGTACCACATGAAAACACAACTGAACCATACCTAATTAAAACCACACAGCTACACAGTACCACAATAGAACCACACAGCTACACATTACCACACTAAAACCACAGTAAAACCACACAGCTACACAGTACCACAATAGAATAACACTGCTAAACATTATCACACAGCTACACACTACCACACTAAAACCACACAGCTACACACTACCACACTAAAACCACACAGCTACACATTACCACACTAAAACCACACTAAAACCACACAGCTACACACTACCACACTAAAACCACACAGCTACACACTACCACACTAAAACCACACAGCTACACATTACCACACTAAAACCACACTAAAACCACACAGCTACACACTACCACACTAAAACCACACAGCTACACATTACCACACTAAAACCACACTAAAACCACACAGCTACACACTACCACACTAAAACCACACAGCTACACATTACCACACTAAAACCACACTAAAACCACACAGCTACACACTACCACACTAAAACCACACAGCTACACATTACCATACTACAACCACACAGCTACACAGCACCCTGCATAAAACCACACAGCTACACACTACCACACTAAAACAACACAGCTACACATTACCACACTAAAACCACACAGCTACACACTACCACACAAAAACCACACAGCTACACATTACCATACTACAACCACACAGCTACACAGCACCCTGCATAAAACCACACAGCTACACATTACCACACTAAAACCACACAGCTACACATTACCACACTAAAACCACACAGCTACACATTACCACACTAAAACCACACAGCTACACATTACCACACTAAAACCACACAGCTACACATTACCACACTAAAACCACACAGCTACACATTACCACACTAAAACCACACAGCTACACATTACCACACTAAAACCACACAGCTACACAGTACCACACTAAAACCACACAGCTACACAGTACTACACTAAAACCACACAGCTACACAGTACTACACTACAACCACACAGCTACATTAAAACCACACAGCTACACAGTACCACACTAAAACCACACAGCTACACATTACCACACTAAAACCACACAGCTACACATTACCACACTAAAACCACACAGCTACACAGTACTACATTAAAACCACACAGCTACACTAAAACCACACAGCTACACAGTACCACACTAAAACCACACAGCTACACAGCACCCTGCATAAAACCACACAGCTACACATTACCACACTAAAACCACACAGCTACACAGTACCACACTAAAACCACACAGCTACACATTACCACACTAAAACCACACAGCTACACATTACCACACTAAAACCACACAGCTACACATTACCACACTAAAACCACTCAGCTACACATTACCACACTAAAACCACACAGCTACACATTACCACACTAAAACCACACAGCTACACAGTACCACACTAAAACCACCCAGCTAAATAGTACCACACTAAAACCACACAGCTACACATTACCACATTAAAACCACACAGCTACACATTACCACACTAAAACCACACAGCTACACATTACCACATTAAAACCACACAGCTACACAGTACCACATTAAAACCACACACTACCACACTAAAACCACACAGCTACACATTACCACACTAAAACCACACAGCTACACATTACCACACTAAAACCACACAGCTACACAGTACCACATTAAAACCACACAGCTACACAGTACCACATTAAAACCACACACTACCACACTAAAACCACACAGCTACACATTACCACACTAAAACCACACAGCTACACATTACCACACTAAAACCACTCAGCTACACATTACCACACTAAAACCACACAGCTACACATTACCACACTAAAACCACACAGCTACACAGTACCACACTAAAACCACCCAGCTAAATAGTACCACACTAAAACCACACAGCTACACATTACCACATTAAAACCACACAGCTACACATTACCACATTAAAACCACACAGCTAAACAGTACCACACTAAAACCACACAGCTACACATTACCACATTAAAACCACACAGCTACCCAGTACTACACTAAAACCAGTTAGACAGCACCACACTAAAACCACACAGACAGCACCACACTAAAACCACACAGCTACACAGTACCACAATAGAACCACACTGCTAAACATTACCACACAGCTACACAGTACCACATTAAAACCACACAGCTACACCGTACCACATTAAAACCACACAGCACTACACAGCAACAGAACACCCACATAAAATGAACTGTGTGTTATACGTGCCTTAGATTATCACATGATTTTGTGTGTTGTTTTTCTGGATTAAAAAAGTGCAATAATATCTCAGCGTTCTTTCATAGGTTGGACAGTGTAGAGATATTCAGTATTATTGTTTCATGTTTTTAATTATCTGTTATATGTTTCTACATTGAATAGTTCCACTATTTTTTTGATACATGTATATGTATGCATAGAAAAGTGACACACTTTTCTATTACATGCTACATTACTACAATTTTTAGAGCAATGAATCAAATGTTTTTTCAGCTTCCCTTGGAAATGTATATGCTAATCTTGTATATTAGTTTTTACTTTGCTAACATTAAGCTTAGTGTCTGGTTTGTTTGAAAGAAATGGTGAAATGGTAAATGTGACTGAAGGTGTGGAGGCGTGGCTATAGATGTGGTATGGGAGTTAAGTACAGCTATTAAGTACATGTCTAATTGTACATTTGTGCACTGCAAAGGGAATTTTATTGTTACATCTAACACAATGGCACATCAAATATGCTTGCTGTAAACAAAATTGTTTATCTTGTGTACATTTTATATATTAAACTAAACTAATGCGTACTGCAGTACTTTTCTGTTGCTTTTATAATCTACAACTATTGTGGCCTATAGGTACTGTAGAGTTCTAAAAAGCAATGAACTCAATTAAGTTTATGAAGGAAATCTCTTAAAATGTTTGGGTTATGTGGCTGGTGACTTTACCCACTCATCAAAGAAACACAAATAATTTCAATTTTCCATCTTTGTCAGCAGAAAATTGTTTCAAAATAAATTACAAAACTCAGTCCTTCTTTCTGTTTCTATTGAATAATTGAGCTTCACCCATTAAGTAAATTAAATTTTCGTGCTGCAAGAAGGAGTACAAAAAATTAGATACATAACTTCATTTTTCTACATATTTATTTATTTTATTAAATAAATAATAAAGAAATGTGTATCCAACAAAAACTTTAAAAGCATAGGGAAAAAAGATCAAATAAAACAAATGGCCTTGGTTTTCCGATTGTTACCCCTCTTGTCATAATCTTTCACAAAAACTTTTTTTTTCTACCTCAACAACTGTGACTTCAAATGTGCAACATCAACAATTTAAAACTTTAACGTGTTTAAAATAATAATAAGTAAAAGAAGAAATAAACAAGTATCATGTTTATAGGTTTTTACATGTAGAAAATAAACATGTCCATGATGACTAAGGATGAACAAGAATTAGTTTTAAAACAGAAATTAATGAAGTCTCATTTGTTTAAAAGAATTTATTTTCATCAAAACAGGTGTGCAAACTTTGTGAGTTTATATCTGTAATAAACATCGTATTTGTAAAACAAATAAGAAAAATAAATTTGTAAACATTAAAAATTGTCAATGTTAATTTCAAATGTAAATTTATATTCAATGCACATTAGTTGCAAAACCTTAGCTCTCAAAATGTTATAAACTTGATATCAAAAACATTTCATAGTAAAATAATAAAACTATAATTTTATGGTTATTTTAAGAAAAGGTGATAATAACATTAGTTCAACATTTTATAGTTTAATATATATTGTTTGAGAATATTTAAACAAAATTTTTCATTCACAAGGTAGCTGGTAATCCTCCGAAGTAAAACAATTTTTGTTTCTTAGTTTTTTGTTTATAATTTACATACAACTATAATTTTCAACTACAGGCTTAAAAGTGAAACAACTGATTTGGTAAAGAAGAATTAATTGATGAAAAATTCTTTATAAATTATGACCTGTGAATTCTATGTCATTGGTGAATAGATGATATTATATTGACCAAACCCAGTGTCAGCTAAACAGTTGAAACATTTAAATTTGTAAGTGATTTTCTAGCAAGGGTGTTAAAAGCTTTGAATGTCTATGCTTTTTCTCATTCCCATACATTCAACTTCATCAATGAAGAGCGTGTTGGCCTTGATAGCAATCTCTTCCTCCAGCTCCAGTTGGTTGCGGACGAGTCCTTTGAGCGAGCTGTTGGCATCACGCAGACGTGCTTGCAGCTGGGCCACAGAGTCACTGATCTCATGGACTTCCTCAATTAGTTTGTACTGCACAGCATCGCGGCACAGCTCAACGTTTGGTCTGTGCTGTCTGGTTTCCAGGCGGGTCTGGGCTACTTTCATTGGCGCCTCCTTAGCCTGGATGGCCATCTCCAGAGTGGCAATGTTTTCTTCTTGTTCTTTGATTTGTGAGATAACCTAAGGGAGAAAAAAAAGGTTTAAAAATGTATCTTTGTTTCATAAAATTTAACATTGGGCTAGCCAAATTTAATTTTTATTTTCTGCTTAAGACTTACTTTAATATTTCTTAAAAATAAATTGTCTTTTAATTTAGTTTGATAAATTATTAAATAAGAGAATAGATAGTTGGCTGTTATATCCCAAACAAAACACTGACCAAAATTAGAATACAAAATGTGTAGGCTTATTTTTTTAATTGAAAGAGACATGTAGGGGTTATTTTAAATTAACAATAAAATCCATAATTCCTACTGATTGACAGAATCAACAATACTTCTAGACAATTCAGTCAGTTCAGCTACTTCAAGGGGGAAGGAAAAACCACTTGAACCACTTCTCAGTTGCTGATTTAAGCAACATACACAACTCAAGTAGTTTGTCTTTAAATTAGTGAGGAAGAAACTGTAGCAAGCAAATATTTTTGTTTGGGCTCTGATAAAAGTGCTATTTGTTTATTAAGGTATAGTATGTAGTTACTTGTGCTATGATCACCCCTTAGACCAGTGTTAAGATTAGGATTGTGGTTAGGGCCAGTGTTCTGGTGCTGTCTTACCTGTATGTTTACACATACTTTTTGTGCTAATATTAAAACCCGAGAACTTAGACTCGTACATTTACTGACAGATACCAGTAATAAAATTATGGGATAGAATTTTAGGATAGATTTTACCTTGTTGAGATTATTCTCCATACAGATGCCAGTGATAAAATTATGGGATAGAAAGTTACCTTGTTGAGATTATCCTCCATCTTCCCCTTGGCGTCCTTACACTCCCAGATGCGGTTGGCAAAAGCAACGTTGGTGTTGTCCACTTGCTTACGCATGTCATTAGCAGTCTGTTGTAGAAGACCATCAATGCTGGACCTCAGGTCAACAGAGCTCATACGCTCTCGTTCTGCGTAGTTAATGTTGTCATTTGAAAAATCTACCCATTGCTCAGGAGAAACTGAACTGTAAAAGGGAAAAATAAGTTCTTGATTTTTTTTTTATATTTTTAAATTACAAATACTTTAACATAAATCACATAAAAATGCATAGCTTGATAACAATTTGAGACTTAAATCAAAATATATTAAATTATTTATGTGTAAAAAAATGTTTTAATACTAAGGGACAGAACTCTTCCTAAAGGAAAAAAAATGAGAAGTAAACCTGACTTTTGATGTTGGGTACTTGACTTTGATAATAACTTATGTTATAACTTAATAACTTAATTAAACAGACAAATCTAGAGCAATATACTATTGCAGCAGCATAATGCTAGCAGTTGTTGTTGTTTTTAATTATGTACTATTAACTATTTGCAAAAGTATCAAGTGCAATTGGGGAAAATAAACAAAACAATCAGACCACATACTTTGGTTCAATTTTTGCCACAGAGTCATTGAAATGAATCTGCTGTGAGTTGTTGCGCAGATTCTCACAATACTCATCAATTGTCTGTGCTCCAAATTTATCTTTCAAGTCTTTTTCTAGTTGGTATTTTGCTTTTCTGTTCAATCTAGTGCAAAAAAAAAAAAAAAACAACATAAAATCCATCTTCAACTCTTTAATTTAAAAATAATCACTTTTATATATCATAATCTTAATTTCTGGTGAGCCAGTTTTCAGGGTGTCTTTTTGTCTTAATTTGATATTGTTGACAACCACACAGTTACACAGTACCACATTAAAAACCACACAGCTACACAGTACCACATTTTTATCATCTTGGAAAGTTTCCTCAACAAATTAACTAAATCTGGATCACAAATATACAAAACAATATTGAGCACAATCTCATCACAACAACACAAAACACTATCAAGCCCCACAAATACACATAATACCACCAAACTTAAATTCACAGATATAGAACAATGTATCATTTCTACCTCAGTTGTTCAGTGGCTTGCTCTAAAGTTCTTCTCAATAAAGCTTGAACACCTTCTATGGTCTCAACTTCCTTCAGCAGTTCCTTCTGAACATCATCGTGTACTAGGTCAATGCCAACTCGTTTCTCTCTAGATTTTCAACAGTTATAACGTTACAAAATGAAGTCTAATTGTGTAGGCAACCAAAATTTATGTTGAACTTAATATATAAAGGTAATACTTGCAAGGTAAAATATTCAATATTTACTTGTTTTTCAAAGGATAACAATATAAAAAAATAATTGTATATAAAATATACAAACAAATAAACGAATACCTGTTTGCTAAACACATTCTGGCAATATGCAAAGGCTCCTCAGTTGCCTGGAGGGCTTTGTCCACTCTTTGTTTGAAAGCCAAAAGATTTTCAATCTCTTTTGATATCCCATCAAGTTTATCATCCAACTCCTTCTTCCAATATCGAATATCATCCAAACGTTGTTCTTTAATAAATTATAAAATTGGATTGTGTACACAATTTTAAATCATAAAGTCATTAATAATAGCTAAATGTGTTATCAATAAAAGTTTAGGAAGAATACATATTTATATACACTTAAAATTTTAACTTACGTAGCTTTTTGTTAACATCCTTTTGTGTTTTTTCTGTACGTTTAGCTGTTTCATCCTTTAATCTATCAGACTCTTTGATCAACCTCTCAGCCTGCTGCCTTTCTACATCAGCGTTTGCATATTTTGTAAGATTGGATCGAGTCCAATCTTCATGAGTAAAGCGGGTTGGAGCTGTGATTAGCCTTGCCATTTCTGTAACAGCTATGAAGTCTGTCATGTAAATATAGACATGCACATACAAAGCTTATAAAGTGCAAGTCAATTAGTCAAAGGATCTACCAACACTTTTATATATATTAGCTGATATAGAGTAGTGTTTGGAATGGATGTATTTTAGAAATTGTTTATATTATAATATTTGGCAGGCCTATACAACATTATTTTTTATTACAAATATGAAGATATGGCCAATAAAGCATGAAAATTAATTTTAATTCCATCATTTGAAATAGATCTATAGAACAATAATTGAAGATTTGTTTTAATTACATTTTTTTATTTTTTAGTGTCAGCCTGAGTGTACTAGACTAGTAAACTATGTTAATAAGTAAGTCAGTAAGTAAATGATAAATATATGACATTAACATTAAATGTAGTATGAGGCTAAAAGTAAAAGGCTAGGAGTAGAATTCAGTAGAGTAGAGTGGTATAGTTCTCTAGACAGGACATCTAGAGTCTAAGTCTTAGTCTAGAGCAGGGGTCTCCAAACTACGGCCCGCGGGCCGGATGCGGCCCGCGAGGTCCTCTCATCCGGCCCGCGGCGATCTTTTTGTCGTCGAAAAAAACGTTTGTTGGTGATGGCTGAGGAACTTTGCCCAGAAAAATCAAAGACATGCCTAGAACTAACTGGCCCCCGAACTGAAATTCGATAGTTAATGCGGCCCTCGGACTGAAAAGTTTGGAGACCCCTGGTCTAGAGCATCACTCAGACGGCATCAGTAGAAAGTAGACTAGTAAGTTGTAGTAACTAGTAGAGTAATCTAGATCTAGTACTTGTTGTAGCGCTGAGTAGTAAAATAGAGTTGTCAGTAGTAGAAATTTTGGTATAACAATACATTATTATTAGGGCTATTATATGGTTTACTTTTATGTTGTACTTACAATTTAATTTAGCCAAAAACAGCCGTATTTTCTAATCACCGCAAATCGCTGATGCTACCCTTATTTAGTGTGTATAGCTCAGTCCTTAGCAACAAAGTTACCACTTTCTATATAAAACGAATCATTCTATTGGGGCATACTGAAAGAAGTACGCTGATTGGTGAAAAAAAAAGCTGGTCTGGATTGAGATTAAAATTTACTATTTTAAAAATTGTGATTCGCAAAGTAGCAGAAACGAAATGATAACAACACGGTTCCGTCCTGTCTGCAGCAATCAGGGTGTGGTTGATAACTTTGATAGTCACAGTAATAATGCGTTAATAATTTAGACTCGAAGTGTGCATGAGAAATGTATGTTTTTTTAAAAGTCACTTCGTATCAAATCGCATGTCTTTGCCAAATAAAAAAAAGCGTTCTGCTTTTGATTGCCTTTTCAGTTTTCATTTACTTTTTTTACCCTTCCCAGTACTCAGTAGACTCGACTGAGTGTGAGTAGACTTAGTTTTTTAGAGGATCTAGAATCTAGATAGATCTAGTTCTAGAGTTGAGCTAAAAAGTTAAGTTTTTTTAGTGGTAACAAAGTGATGAAGGCAACGCCAAATTAAAATAATTAGTAATTAGTTAGGCCTAGATCTAGAAGAATCTAGACTACTACTACTACTGATCTAGATCTAAAAGACGAAAGTGCATGCACCAGAAATGCAGTTTCCCCCCTCATCACACATTGGCAATGATGACATTGTCACTAAATTAAAATTACAATCCTCCCGTCCCAGGAGTGTGACCTTATAATAGATCTATATATGGACGAGCCCTACCTAACACAGTTACAGATGACACTAAGTTTTTAATGAGTTTTTTTTTTTGTTGAGCAGTGAATATCTTTTATCTCTAACAAAAAAATATCTTTGTTAATTACTTATTTTGAAAATATTTGTTAACTTTCTCATTTACTGAACCAGATCCTCATATGTATTTTTTTTTGACTAAAGATTTCATGCAGTTATTAGAACATTTAGCTCATAAATCCCTGCATATTGACAAAATGTTTTATCCCATTCCGTAAACAACTATTTGTTATAAACATAGATTGACTGTCCAATTGAAGATATGGACGAAGCAAAACAATCTGCTGATGCTGGCAAGTTGGTGTGTCAGGAATGGTACGGCTCCACACCCAGGAAACATGACTACATCCTACAGGGCAAGGAGGGGGTGCTGAAGCAGGTTAACACATCAACTCGACACAGCTCCTTGTCACAATTGTTTCAGGTACATTAATAATGACATTTTAATTATTTTTAAAATTTTAATGGCTTATTATGATGGCCACATGTTGTATTTCAATAATTCTGCTGTAATTTTTATTGAAATTAAATAGGATTATAAATTATAATGTTTTCAAAATATGCATATATTTTTAATCAATTAAACTTTTAGTTTAAACTAAAAACTGATTTTAAAAGTTATATGAAGATAATAAGAGAAACTATTTTTAAATGTTTTTTTTTAAATGTAGGCATTATTGATCATTGATAAAGGCTCAACACTTAATTTTCAGTTTATTGGCTTTAATATTCAGTTATAGATGAAAAGAAAGTGTCCTTCATTAAATTTCTAAAAAAATGTAATTAGTCATAGATTAATTAGTCAAATTAGATATCAGTTTTACTATTGTTGTTTAAAAAATTATATTTATATTATGTTGTAAACAGTTTATATATTTTTTAATGAGAACAATTTTATTATCATGTTTATAAAATGTATGGATAATAATGTATGGATAATAATCTTCCTACTGAATTGTGTTTTAGACAATCTTCCTCCCTCAAGGCTACCCAGAGAGTGTTAGCAGTGACTACTTGATTTACCAGATATGGGACACTGTACAGGTTGGTTAGATCATTGCATCATGCATTCCTTTTTCTCAAAATCTTAATTGTCTTTTTATTTCAAAATATTGAATCTTAAATTTTTATCTAGCTAAAAAAAACAATACTGTTTAACAATTCACAAATCATCTCATTTTTGTTACATACCAAAAGATACATGTAAACTGTGAATAATGTGATATTGTATTTTCTTATGAACTATTTTATTTTAGGCTTTTGCTAGCAGCATTACTGGAACACTTGCAGCTCATGCAGTTTTAAAAGGTGTGGGCGTGGGAGATGAAACCGCAACAGTTATGGGGGCAACGTTAACGTGGCTGTTGAAAGGTTGGAAAGTGTGTTTTACAATATAATTTATCAATATGCATTTTTCTTAGTGGTTCACCTGGTAAAAGGACAAGTTTTTAAAAATTCAAACATGATTAAAGACAAAAAGTCTCAAGGGTTAGGGTTGGGGTAAAGAAGGACAACATGTACATTGTAGCATAATAAAAATTTCAACTAACGTATGATTCGTTTGTATTTGCACATTTTTGTTTGCGTAGTTTTCCGTTTGCACATTTTGCTGGGAACCATTGATAATGAATAAGTTTCTAAGCTACCATTTAATGATTTTGCAACTTTTTAGTTGAAAATATTCACTTCACGCCTACCAGGTACCTGTATTTTGTTCTAGCAATTATTTTCTTTAGTTTGAGTATTCTTTGTTAGAATGCGATCATTCTGACTCTTGAGTTGAAACAACAGTATGTTGGGTTTTTTTTTCCCATTTTGATGGAGCTAGGTCTGTTTGTTACAGGTTAGACAACTGCTAAATTAGACTAAAAGCAGCTTTGGGGAATCTTATTCTAACTCACTCAAATAAAATTCTTGTGCTTTTTTTTTTAAGCAATAGTAATTTCTTATAATAATAATATTAGCCTAAAATAAACAACTGAAATCAAATTTGCAGTTTTGTTATTTAAATCTAATAGTAGATATACACAAGGAATGATTGATTGTGATTTTATTGCCAGAAAGTGTAGTAGATTTCATGAGCAACTAATGCTTTTATTAAGAACGAAAATTAGTTTTATTTTCCCAATGTCAGTGCATTTAAAAACATTATTATAAGGTTTTTTTTATATTTCTTTTTATTTAGATGGCGCTGGCATGCTGGGACGTATTCTGTTTGCCTGGTCAAAGGGGTGAGTACATACAGTATATATGAGAACAACTTTTGTTTTGTTCCCCTATTTCTCTTACACATTTGTTCCGTTAAACCACACATTATAACGTATATTGTTTCATATTTGTCAGAGGCAAATGGAACAGGTTTCTAGAGATCTGACTTTTCTTTTCAGAATTGGCCTAGACAGTGATGCTAAAAGATGGAGGTAGAAATCATCAGTTAACCCCATGCTACTCTTGTGTTAAATTGTTCCACATCCCAAATTTTAAGTCTTTTTACCTGGTTTGTTTGACCTAAGGGTCACGGCCTCATGTTACTAAATTTTAATACCAAGATACTTTGGACAATTTAAAAAAAATATTGAACACATAGAGATAAATGTTTAATCAAATAATAATCAAATTACATATTTAAATTGTTTTTCTTTCTTTCAGGCTGTTTGCTGATATTTTGAATGATACTGCGATATTTCTAGACATAATTTCTCCCTCGTTTGGTCCTTACTTCACCCTCGTGGTCTGCATCTCTGGTGTTTGCAGGGTACTTGTTCACAACCACAACCTTTCTTGTTATATGTATAGCAAAGCTACATTTTAAAAGTATATACAGTGTTGTAAGTTAAAGACATGCTAATAATTACATTTTCTGACCCAGAGTATTGTTGGCGTGGCTGGTGGCGCCACTAGAGCTTCTTTAACCCAACATCAGGCTCGCAGAAATAATATGGCAGATGTTTCTGCTAAAGATGGAAGCCAGGTAACTACTTCTGAAACCTTTTTTTAGACAGCTACATTTGCACTTTGTATTATTTAAAATCTTCAAAAACTGTCCAACAGTTGAGAGCATTAAAAAATGTTTTATTTTGTCCAGGAAACCCTTGTCAATCTCGCTGCTCTTCTGTGCAGTCTGGTCCTGATTCCCATGGTCAGTGGTCATCAAATGTGAGTTCTAATTGATTACTTTCTCATAGTTCTCAACATGTGTAACTTTCAAATAATCAACATATTGGGATTTTTAAATAGGTGTATAACATGTTTAAAACCATAAGTAGAATTTTGAAATGTGCTGTACATCTAATATAAATAAAAGATTGCTTTAAGTGAGTCCGTAAATATCTGGCAACATGTCTTGCTAGGGTGATCTGGTGTGACAGTTAGTAAATAACTGGCAACATGTCTTGCTAGGGTGATCTGGTGTGACAGTCAGTAAATATCTGGCAACATGTCTTGCTAGGGTGATCTGGTGTGACAGTCAGTAAATATCTGGCAACATGTCTTGCTAGGGTGATCTGGTGTGACAGTCAGTAAATATCTGGCAACATGTCTTGCTAGGGTGATCTGGTGCGACAGTCAGTAAATATCTGGCAACATGTCTTGCTAGGGTGATCTGGTGCGACAGTCAGTAAATATCTGGCAACATGTCTTGCTAGGGTGATCTGGTGTGACAGTCAGTAAATATCTGGCAATATGTCTTGCTAGGGTGATCTGGTTGCTGTTCCTGGTCTTCACCTGCTTGCATCTATTTGCCAACTACAAAGCTGTCACATCCGTTTGTATGGAAACAATTAGCCAGTCTCGTCTACACTTTATAGCCAAGCACTATCTGACCAAGGAAGAAGTTTTGGATGTGAAAACAGCTAACCATCTTGAACCTGTCTTGTTCCGTAATTAATTTTCCTTTCTTACTTTCAACACTTAAGGTCAGTTAATTTATTTCTAAACTTGATTTTTAGACATCAGTAAAACATTGTGAAGCAGCTATGATAGTTTAATTGACTGTTAAGTTGCTTTTTTTACTCATTGCCCCTGGCCCCCCCTTCTAGTTTACAAACTTATTTCTGAACACAGGGAAGCTGCCCAGGTTTTTCTAACGTGTAGCTTTTTTTTTTTTTTTTTTTTTTTATTTAATCAATTTAACTATCAATGCACTCAGAAATAGACAAGCCTGTAGAAAATATAACAATACCAGCACAACAACTTTAAATAAAGATGTCACCTCCAGATGGCACATTTTGTTGCATCCTGCAGGAATGAGTTAAACATGATGGAGTACACAAATAGCTGAATGTTGTTTAACTATTGAGGCATGACAAAGTTCTTAAACATTTTATTTTTCCAGCTGTCAAGCGACCTCTGGCCATCAAACTAGGTGTGTCTGTTGGTGATTTAACCAGAAGGTATTTTTATACAAGTTTTAATTCTAACCAACTGACCACATACAGATGTTTAATGTGTAACCGATTACATAAAAATTTTAATGTAGTAATTTGACCATAAGGTATTTTAATACAAGTTTTAATTCTAACCAACTGACCACATACAAATGTTAAATGTGTAACCAACTAATTACATAAAAGTGATAATGTAGTAATTTGACCATAAGGTATTTTAATACAAGTTTTAATTTTAACTGACTACAACAAAGTATTCATGATTATTGTTATCATGTACTAGAGCTGAGTGTTGCTATCTGATCTCTTATACTCTTCTCTCAATATCTGACAGTATTTCTTTCCCCTCTCTGATGGAGGTCTATGAAAGAAGCATGACTGGGTATATACTAACCATAGACTACAAACGAAGTGAGTGGCCATCTAAACTGACAGATTTGACTAGAATTCTCTTACAGAAAGTTTAATCTTTGTAGAGAAATAGTTTTATTCAATTGAAATTGGCCCTTTTAAAATGCTTTTATGTGTGTATGATTTTTGTTTTAAAATCATTACCAATTTCCCAGAATGCATCGACATTGCACTGTCTCAGTCATCTGACACCCTTGACCAGATCCAGGCCTGTTTTCATGCTGAGCTCATTAACTTCATCATTGAACAGAACCGCAAAGGACAAGTGAGCTAGTTTTCTCAAATTGTTTGGTACACTGTAGACCTGTTTTTTTTTGTTTCTGTTAATGTGTACAAGTTAAATTGTCTTTACAAACTGTGTGTTGTAGGAGCTAAACGCAGAATTGAAAAAGTTGGGGAAACTTGTGGAGGAGTCACAACTAGCAGGGTCCCAAAATGAAGGTTGGTTCGGTTTAGCACAGTATCTGTTTTACATAAGTTGATCTGAATAATTTATTTTTGTTGTGTTCAAAAAATACAATTTTCTTATAACAAAGAAAGGACAACCTTTTGTTTGAATCACAAACATTTTTTTTTTTTTTGCAGAGTTGCTAAAGGCAGTGCTAAAGACCTCCTTGCACTACACAGAGAGTAATATCTCCTCCATTGCAAAAGAGCTGCATGTCAAAGGATGGGTCACAGAAGTTGTGTTGCTTGGAGCCAATGAATGGAGAGCATTATGGGACTATGATGAACTGCAAATGAAAAAGTCAAATTAATATTGAAGTCACGACACTTCAAGAAAACTTATTTTAAGGACTTTTTTATTTAAAGTTAAGAGAAAAAAATCAAATTGACTTTTTAGAATTTTAGTGTGGAAATCTATTTTAAAGGTAAATTTAGAGATTTTAATCACTAGGTCACACTTGAACCTAGACTACTAGATCTGACCCAGTTTTATTCCCATGCACAGTTATGAGTACCACCCCCTCCCCTCCACTACTAATGTATAATTTTCTTCACAAAATTATGTTGGCTAATAGCTAAATCATTATTGAACACAATGAGTTTCAACTGTTACATATCCAGTCTTTCTATCAAACCTACCAAAAATGTGGTTGTGCTTACCTTTTATATTGTCAGGGAATTCCTCAAATACCACAGTGTCTTTATTGTCATTGAAATCTGAAAGTGACCATACAATGAAGCTCGTTGGTGGCATTTAGCAGCAAGTTGCCAAAGAAAGAGATTCCTTTTGTGCCACTAAGATTAAAGTTGCCCTTGTCAAGCTCTTCACGGCTCTTGTTTTCATCAAGTGCTCACTGCTTTGTCCAGATCAGATCTGAAAATGTATGCATTTAACCAGGTTTCAACTAAGAATGGTAATGGCTGGGGTAAGTCACATACAAATGTCTGGCTCTCTAAGTGTGAAGACAAAGCAACTTGAAGTTGGCGCCTCCAAGTTAAAAGACCATTTCACCCTCATCAAATTGTCTATGTATTACACAGTAGTTCTAGTCTGTCTTTACAACTGATATAATGAGAATATTAATATTACTATTTATTTAATCTCTATTTAAACACATTATTCTTAAGAACATCTATGTATAAAACCTTTATTTAATTGCTACTTTAATCTACCTTATGGACAAAGGAAAATGTTCCTACATGACCTATATCAATCTACATATTCATCAGAAGTAAAAATAGTTAGCCTACCTTCAATACTTTTTATTAAATTAATAACTTGCATGTGCCCCCCCCCCCCCCCCCCCTATTACTGCACACTGCCAGTTCTTCAGATCCAGCTTACCCAGTAAAAGTGATTTGAAAATAAAAATTGAGGTTGATTGTTGCTGGTGTTCAAATATTTAGTGCAATATCAGCAGTCTTCAAATAGACATTGAAGACCCCGGTTATAAATGGAACTGTATACTGTTAAAATATGTTCAACCTTTTTGTGAGACTGGTTCATAATAATTTTTAAATTGAGCATATTGTCCTTTGGAAGGCGAATGATGTATAATACTACAAGAAACAAGGATACAATTTTTTTTTAATGATTTAGGGACTGATTTTTTATGGTGCAGAACTGATTGATGCATGGTATAAATTGTTCTGTACTTTAAATAAAAAATTTGAAATTAAGTAATCACTTACAAAAACTCCTAATAATAGAAATGACTACCTTTTAAAGCAAACCCAGTCTGGCTGTTGTCTTGCCAACTGTATTTTATGTTTAAACAGTTGAAAACTGTTCATTGTATGTTTTTTAAGTCTTCCATGTCTTTCTTGAGAGACCAATTAAAATACTGAGATCTCTATTGTGGAATGCCACATCGAATATGATTTGTCAATTAATTAAATGACTGTTGAGTCTGGTAAAGAACGAATGAGAACATCCAATGGGAGAACCTGAGATGGCATGCATGTTTTATTAAAGCACAATTTTTTTATTTGTTGGAGTGGATTTTGTTTGGTTTCATGAATGAACTTTTTAGTAAAACCAATGTTCCTATTATTGTTTTTTTAAGTTACTTTGGTATTTTATTGTCAACTTTTGTGATATAAAAAATATACAGTGATTGTATTTAAAATATACAAACATATTTCTAATATTTGATTATATGACATCAACAAATGTATCAACCATGATTAGGCAATTGGTTTTCCTATCAGTTTAATTCATGAGTTTTACCCCCTTTCATTCCCTTGTTTTTCACTCAATTTGTTTTGGTGACAGTTGCTGTGGACTTTTGTGTTGACAAATTATGGGACACAATTTTTATTTACACCTGTATGGGTAACTTGAGTGTGTTAACAAAATAAAATATTTTTAAATAAATCTCTGTGTTCTTCCATGCACTTTCAACTGCCTTGTGTGTGTATTGTTTTTATGGATTGCTCTAGAGTTGCCCCAAGCAAGATAAAATGCACCAATAAGATCTGTTTCCAGTGGATAAAAAGTACATATTGGTGTGTACAAGAAACAATTTCCGTTTAAAATTCATGTAAAATAAAATATTTGAAGACAGAAAATTTCTTTATCTCCATGTTCCCACAAATGCTCCATTAGCTGAAACAAATTTGACAGCACTAAAGATTATTGCAACAAATGTGCCATAGCACTAAAGATTGTTGCAACAAATGTGCCATAGCACTGGAGATTGTTGCAACAAATGTGCCAGGGTATAGAAGACTCAGCAAGTTTTCTTTGGAGCTATAAACTATTTTTGTATGATAAATATGAATATAAAAAATAAAATTTTCCACTTAATTTACTGGTAATTTTTAAAACATTTCTATGACTGATATAAATTGTATTAAAAAATAACAAACATTCAATTCATTTCTAAAAAAAAATTTTATTTTAAAATTATTTTTAAAAAGAATCCCTGTTTTGCATAAAATGAACATGCATATATTTACCTTACATAAAATAGAAGTAACAACCTAAAGTTGCCCTAAAGACTTGTTCATGTATTACCTCAATTGACATTTGTTCATATTTAAACAAAAACTGCTCTGAAAATTTCTTAAAAAATTATCTCCAAATTTTCATTAACATGCTAAAAATAACATCAAACATTTACTTGTTGACTTCAAATGGGACACCGGTTAACAATGACATAAGTCGTATAACATACATTAGTTTACTGACTAAAGTATTGGAGTTTATCATTACCCCCACATTTAGTTTCTTTTTATAACTTCATGTAAATAGCAGAACTCAGGTATTTTTATATCCAAGTTGTGGTCAGATCAAAGAAAATAGCTAAAGAAAGGCACCAAATCAATGCAACCACATAATATTCTAACTAATAGAAGAAATATAGCTAAGTTAAAGACACCATTAGCCAAATAACCACTGGTTTCATTCATCAAGCCCCAGAATTGTATACCTACTGTTATTCAAGTTAAATGCAAATGGTAATGACAAATTAATGCCAGAACTCTCCACTAATGGAACCATTTTAAATACTCATGTTTGATTAATGAATGAAGTAACAAGTTAGTGGTTAAAAACTAGGATATGTTTTAAAATAAAACAAAACATAATGAATAGTCAATCTAATGAATAAATCTAATGAAGAGGCTTTATACAGTCCTTGTTGGGTGGTGGTTTTTCCTAAGTATTTAAACATGAGGAAAGAAATAATTACATGGTTCAACATTTCCCTTCAGACCAACATTTTAAAACTACATACAGATATTCCTATTGAAAATAAGAGCACTTAATGATTTGTTATGAAAAGATTAAAGCCTTTAAAAATGGAGTCTTGTTTGAAGTGAGGCTACAATCATCAGCCAAATTTTGTTCTTTTACTAGGCTTAACAGAATTTTGAGAAGACCATTACTTCTTTCAATGGCAGGCTACAGGTGTAAAATATCATAAGATAAATGTGGTTATAAGAATACTTATCCATTTGCATTCGACATTCCCAATCTTAATAACAATAAGACTTGTGTACAGGAATTTGTCATTCCTCCATTCCAATAACAATCAGACAGGACCTCAAAGAACAGCTTGAACAATTGCTTGGTCCCAGCATCATCAAAAACCATCACATTTGTATACAACCAACAGGAATCCCCATTAGCCAACACTAGACTGTAGTGTAAGGGACTAGGCACAAGAATGAGGTGGAGAATGTTTAAAGTTGTTCACACCATGTATGGCATCAGAAGAATGTGAAACTTGACAGATAAGATGAAATATTTCAGACTTATCAAAGCACCAGGTCTATGGTGATATTGCAGCCACCAAATAAATGTGTACAGATAAAAGCTAACAGAACTTTTTAGCCAGTAAACTGCATACATTACCAGCAAATTACATCAAAACATTTGGCATAAACCACAAGAAAAAAATAAACATCAACTACAAGGTGAGCAGCAGTTTAAAATGAATGCATACATTAAACATGTCCACTGGCTGTAGTCTGTACAATACCTTCACTGCTTCTCTTTAAATAATAACAGTAATTTAATACTGACTCAAGATCATTCATTTGGTTTAGTATCTTTACTTTAGTCTACTACTTTCCATTTTTTACCTATGCCCCTGCATTAAAAAACAATTATATAAATAATGAGTAGTTTATTTTTAAGTTACAACAGTCCATTACATGTTGAAACTGGAGCCAGCCAATCTTTCATGAGTCAGACATCCCCATCTGCTGACCACATGGACTCAGCCAATCTTTCATGAGTCAGACATCCCCATCTGCTGACCACATGGACTCAGCCAATCTTTCATGAGTCAGACATCCCCATCTGCTGACCACATGGACACAGCCAGCCAATCTTTTGTGAGTCAGACATCCCCATCTGCTGACCACATGGACACAGCCAGCCAATCTTTTGTGAGTCAGACATCCACATCTGCTGACCACATGGACTCAGCCAGCCAATCTTTCATGAGTCAGACATCCCTATCTGCTGACCACATGGACACAGCCAGCCAATCTTTCGTGAGTCAGACATCCACATCTGCTGACCACATGGACTCAGCCAGCCAATCTTTCATGTATCAGACATCCCCATCTGCTGACCACATCCCCATCTGCTGACCACATGGACTCAGCCAATCTTTCATGTGTCAGACATCCCCATCTGCTGACCACATCCACATCTGCTAACCACAACCACATCTGCTGACCACATCCCCATCTGCTGACCACATGGACTCAGCCAGCCAATCTTACATGTGTCCACATGTCTACAGGCTGACATCATGAGGGAGTCAACCCTCCCCACATTCAGAAAATGCTCGCAAACAGTGAAGTTTGAGATTCTTTAAGTGAGTAACAAGATGTACCATAAATTAACTAGCCCAAATTAATGAAGGTGAGGGACTGGAAGCTTTTTTTTTTTAAATTTAATTTACACATGGCATCATCATTATTATTATTTACAGTCTGTTCTGGTATTTTTTTAATAAGAAAATTGAAGAAATAATATTTAGAATTAAATCTTGCTGTGAAAAAACATAGGTTGAGCAAATGTGCATTAAAAATTTAAATTAATAAAAAAGTACCATCAAATACTATTACAGCATTCAACATATATACTGTTCAAATATAAGGAAGATTTATGAGGAATCAACTGACCAGAAAAATAACAGCAATAAGGGAGCTATGGCTAGAATAAAACTTGATCTAACATTTAAATAACAGATCATGTTTATGGTGCTTATCATGTTAGAAGTTTCAACATGACATAAAAATGTTTTCAATCACAACTTTGTAAAATATGCCTTAAAAAACAAGTATGTATTTTACATAAATAATATAGGCTATCATTGAACATATTTATGCTGATCATATGTATGAATTTATACAACACCTTAAAAAAAAAGTTTTGCCAACATTTTAGATCTTTGTAAAGAATGTATGAGAATATTTTCTTGGATGAACAAAACATACGGTAGTTTTAAGATGAAGAAAAAAGGCTGAAACAAATGATACTTAAAAAAAACCTCCATGAATGTCTAGTAGTCCTGCAGCTGGGGGATGTTGTAAAACAGGTCTATGCTGTCAGGGTTTGAGAGGGCTCCTCTCTGCAGCACAGGTTTCCCTGCTATGGCTTGCTTGATGGCCACCTCCACTTTCTTACCACTTATTGTGTACTGTGGATTAGACAGACAGGCTCTGTGAACAACAATCTATACATCTGTTGCAGGTTAAACCAATTCACCTGCATCTGCTTCATCCCTTTTTTGATCAAAATGCAGGTAGTTTTAGACAGGTGAACAAAATATGTCATTCAACGCAAATGTTTTAAGTGGACACAGACTGAGATAAGACTTTTAAAAAAATAACTCAGGGTAAAATTAATTTGTGCATTTAAATAAAGGCTAGTGGTCAAAAGTTAGATTAACAGCAAATAATTTGTCACCTTAAAATCTGCTATAGGATAAAGGAAAAAGATGTCAAAAGGAAAGTTTTCATATTTTGTTAGTTAAAAGCCAGGCTTCAGAAAACCAAATGTTTTGGTGGAATATTTTTAATAAAACTTTATTTGCACCAAAACATGGAACAGCTACATTTCAGCATTAAAGAAGACACCATCCAAGAGCAGACTGCCTAAATTACAATAGCATCTTCTACTGAGATAAAGTTGACTTCATCAACTAATGAAATAAACATCCCTGAGACTCTGTTGTAAAATAAAATAACTCAAATAGATAATTACTTGTAATATGTACTTACAGGAATATCAGAAATGGGGAGTATGAGAGCAGGAACATGCCGAGCTGACAAGTACGTCCTTATGTGGTGTTTAATGCTGTCAACAACTGTGGAGCCAAACTCACTTCCTGGTGCCATCTTGAGAAACAAAATCACTCTTTCATCTACTCCATCTTTACTCCTCTGACTGACACAAACACTGTCTTGAATTTCTTTGAAACTCTCCACTAAAGAAAACAAGAATGTAAATGTGTTTTAACAATGCTCTGTCTCCAGCAAGTCATTCAGAAACAAAAGGAAACAGAAAATCTGGCAGCAAATAAACAGTTAAAAATGTATAGAAGAATATTGGTCTATTTATTCATGGGTGCTTTGGTATCATGTTTCTTTATTTGAGTAAGTTGTGTTTTGTCTAAATATGAGGATTGAATGTACACATTCTCAGATTATATTACAGCATGTTTCAGTACTACATTATGTACCATTAACGAATATCAATCACACATAAAGAGTATATAACACTAGGCTAACCTGCTTGATAAATTTCAGCACTTCCAAATCGCACACCATTTGGATTGAGAGTACCATCACTAGAAAAATATGTAATGAAAAAAATCTATCAACATCTCAAAATAAGTACAATGTATATCGATGCATCAAAATTTGTAGCTGTTTAAAAATATCTTTTAAAATATCTTTTACTTTTCTTATTAAGGATTCAGACGTTTTATAGAATTTTTAAATGTAACAAGAACACAGGATGTCTGACCTTCTGCCAAGCATGACAACACCACCAGTGACGGAGTTGATCAAACAATAATCTCCATGGGCCCAGACTCCTGAGGATGTGTTATGTATACTTCAACACAAAATAACCAGAATAATAATATTCTTTCTTCTAAAAACTTTTGCAATCAGTATTAATGACGGAGTTGTTAATAAAGACAACTTATCTTAGACTTAAGTCCTAATTAAATAAATAACAGAGAATGTACAATCATTAATAAAAGAGGTAAAAAAAGAAAATGGATTCTTTTTAAAAAATAATTCCTTTTCATTGGAAATCTTTCAAGGTAAATAAATTTTACAGCCTAATAATATATATAATATAACCATATCTGAAAGTGGATTATTTACTTGAGAAAATCTATAGTCAGCTGTTCTTAGTAAACAATGTGTGCAGCTGTTCAAATAAAGATCACAATCAATCACTCCCAACACAAACTTGTATGGCCCAAGTTTCCTCAATTATAACATACAGTTACCTTCAAATTTGTTGAAGTAAGCATTTCTGTACTTGGATCCATCTTTGTCATTCCAGAAGTAAACAGGCATGGAAGGGAATGGTGTAACACAAACCAGTTCTCCACTGTCATCATACACAGGTTTACCTGGACAGGTAGAAATGTTTACTTAAGCTGATAGATGAGAGGGGAAGAAGGCAATAGGTAAGGGGCAGGGTCTGACTCTAACTTTATGGGATGATGGTTTATATGGATATATATTTCAATATGGGAGGGAATAATCAAAAGGTAACCAAAGTCATGGTATACAGTTTTATAAATTTGGGAGCACTTTGCTGTAAGTGAATGATGGTATTTTTTTGTGCACAAATTTCAGCACAAAAATGCTGATATATTTTAAACTTCCTTTTTTTAAATATTTTATACTAAGTAATGCATGGGGTTTTTTTCACTTTGAAATTAAAATAACTGAAATAAAGCAAGAACTTATCATAAATGAATTAGTCCAATTTAAAAATTATTTTATTTATTTTCTTAGAACATTCTACCTAGTTCTTGTAATAAATATATTTTGGTTCTATAAAGAATAAATAACTATTTGCATAAACTAATAGTAGTGCAATGTACACAAAGGCCTACAGGTAATGGAATATGTACATTAAAATTTTAAGAGAACTAATATATTTTTTTGCAGATGGACAAAAATAAAAAATGCAGATGTGGAAAAAGAGGGTATGGTTTTTAATATCAAACTTTTGTAAATCTCATAAAATAATTATAATGTACCAGATTCATCCCAGCTTTGCATATCACAGCCCAACAACAGACACTGGATCTCCCCTCTGTAAACTGGAACATTCCAGTTTTGTCCCAAAAAGCAAGCAATAATATCAGTTCCACCTGGAATAATTTAAAAAGTAAAAACCTAAAGCTTCTGCATAACAACAAAGTGTAAAATATTAGAAACACTTCCTACCAAAATCATTTTTAAATTATCCTAAAATTATACTTCCAAACTATATGAAGACCACAGGGGATAAACCACAGTTGTCAAAATTTTCTACTTTGGAGAAAAATTACATGTTCTGTTTGAGATTTGTTGTTATTTTGCAACATGATTTTATAATCCTAAATGTTGCAGGGATTGAGTCAGTTTTACACTTTCACACTGTAATACATTAAGATACACAGTAGCAGAACATGATATGGGCACAGTAGACACCTGTGGTCTTTCCCATGCAGTCTTCATATACTTCCAAAGATCAAGAAAATGAATATTCATTTTTTAAATAATTTAATAGTTTTAGAAACATAAAATTTATCCCCCAATGTTAGTAGATCAAATTACTAGACATTTATTTAACCATTCATACCTGATATAGATCCCAAGACAATATCAGATTTAATATCATTGTAAACAAAATCATAGCTCTGTGGTTTGAGTGGGGATCCAGTAGATAAGATAGCTTTTAATGAATCCAACTTGTGGGTTTTTTCTGGAATAAAAAAATAGTGATATTTAAGAGAAGATGAAACATGGTTGTGCAGAGTAGTCTACTTTATACTTCAACATTTGCTTTTGTTAAACAGACCTTTAAAGCAAAACTGAAACAAAAAAAAAGAATCAGGAAAAATCCCTACTCACTTGGGTGTACACCCATGTCTTCCAACACTGCTAACCATTTAGCACCGGTTCCAAGTATGGTGACTCTATAGAACAGAGATGGTAGTTACAGTATTTTCAGGCTAAAGAGCTATAATTAATAGTATAGTCTCACTATAGAACAAACTTCAAACTAGTTAAGTATGAGCAATATTATAATGTAGAGATTAATGAAAAACGTAAGTTACAACATAAGAAACAATGTTACAATGAGGAGCTCATTAGAGAACCTACTTCAGCTGATCAACCAAATCCCAGAGAACATTAGGATGTGGCACAAGAGGCGACCCATCATACAGCACAATGGCTGACCCTAAAGCCAAAGCTGTGACCATCCAGTTCCACATCATCCAGCCAGCCTGTGGACCAATGGAACTCACTCATTATACATATCATTAATTAGCCACATGAAAAACATCATTAACCAGCAATATGAAACATAACTAATTAGCCACACTAGACTGCTTTTAATTACACAATAACCACATTAAAAATACTTTTGAATAACCACACAGACTATCAGTAAAATCCTTGTTAAACACATCAATTATGTTGTTAATCTATTTGTATAAGCTATAACACAGATTGGATTTAGCATCAAAAGAATATTGCACAAAATCATACTAAAAGACTTACTGTAGTATAGTAGAGCATGATATCATTTCGGTCCATGTTATTGTGAAAGATATGTTCAGACAGATGTTTCATCAATGTGCCCTGAAAGTCATAAAATACTGCTAGTAACACAAGTTGACAGCATTTGTTTTAAAATAAGTATGAAAACAGATATTTTACTTCTATCTTTACTCATTCAAACTTTTTCTGTGTATGTCATTCAAATAAGTATTCATTATAGCCAACAGTTCTAATCTTGTTCATGCAGTTGATTAACAACAAATTAACATGAGTTACTTACGCCAACAGAATGCACCATGCACTTGGGTACACCCGTGGTGCCAGAGGAGTACATGATGACCAGGGGGTAGTTAAATGGAACTTGTTCAAATGTCAGCTCAGGGACTTCGCCATCAACAACACCACCCAGTAAAAACTCCTCTAAAGTGGTACTGGGAGAAATATTAGACAAAAATCTTAATTTTGTTTGTAACTTGGTTTGATTATACAAAATAAGAATCTTCAAAAATCAATTTCATATCAAAAGGAAATGTATTTTTTTTAAAACAGCTATTTATTTCCCCACCTCAGAGGCACTGATGAAATATCTGCTTTAAAATCATCAACAAATGGTATGACAACTACTTTGAGTAGATCAGGGAGTCCTATGATTAAAGTAAAAGAAATTAAGGTTTAATAATTGCATGTATAAAAAGAATAATGTTATTACTATTCAAGCTAATATTTTGAAATATAATTTAATACTGTGTAAACTTTATCAAACAATGATGGATATAGTGCATGAAAAAATGAATACTGAGTAGAAATATAACTGACAATAATTAATTATAGCCAATGTAAATTGAAAACAAAATTGACTAAAAAACTGAAATACCTCTCACTACTTGCTCTAGTTTGTCAAGGTGACCATGAATCTTTCCATTGTAATGTACAGCATTAACACTAATAATCAGCTTTGGTTGAATTTGTGTAAATCTTTCTAAAACACCCTGAAAAATAGTTAAAACATTATTTCCCATTTCTCAATGGTCAATCACAACTCTAGTTTCTGTGTTGGAACTCTTGTATGAACTGATGGATGGGTTGTGTTGTACATAACAAGACAATAATTTTTAACATCCAGAATTTCATCAAGTCAGTTGACAGAAATGTTAGATATTAAAATTTTACTTACAACAACACCAAAATCTGGGGATGTCGAGCTCCAGATGGCACCAATGCTGGCTGAGGCAAGCATGGCCACTAATGCTTCTATACAGTTTGGAATGTAGCCTTAAAATAAAAATTAATGAAAAAAATAAATAATAGCCAAAGCATCTTTAGGTGAAGTTTCTCAGATATATAATGACACAATGCTAGTAATTTGTTACTTAACTCTCTAAGAACTAGTACATGAATGATTAATTTTTTTAAAGTTAGCAAAATTCTTAAGTGGTCAACTGTGCAATAGTTTTTAATACTTACCAACTACTCTGTCCCCTTTTTGAACGCCCAACTTTTTCATTGCAGCAGCAAACTGGGCTACGTACTGACGCAACTCCTTGTGTGTTTTTCTCTTCACCTCTTTTTGTCCTTCACCTAATTATTTTAAGAAAAATTGATGTAATGGATATTTGCAAATAATTACATCACAACTACAACTCTTACAGTCAGCTTTAACAAAATGTGAATGAATTTCAATACTTCGAACCTGTTGCATAAACCGCAATCATATCATCATTATAACGAAGAAGATTTTCAGCAAAATTCAATAGACTTCCTTTAAACCAGGTGGGAATGTCTGCAATGCCTAGATTTTTGTCAATAACCTAAAATAATGACAATTTAAAACAATTAATGTACAATCTATTAGTAATTATTCATAAATAACTATAATTAAGTGCAAGGATTTAATATGGGCTAGTCTGTAGGTTGTCTGTGTGTCCACCAAGCTCTAATGGATACTTGATTCATGTTAGGGAAAGAAAATGGTGGCTGGGCATAGTGCAGACCACACTCTTACTTCTCATACTGTGGTCAGAGAAACAGGTCCGAAATGTTTACTTGTTTATGTGCCAAAGAAATTGTTAAATGATTAAGCTAGAAATTACCCTTGATATCATATGTCTAAGAACTGTCTTTCTGAATTACCTCTTCATATGATTTTGAATGTATGACATTTGCATAGTGCCAAACTTCTTCCCAGAATTCAGAATAATTATCACATGACCAGCGATGTAATTCTTTATATGTTTCTGTGAAAAAAAAATGTCAAAACTTTTAAGTAAAATAGATGACAACTTGACATTATTTTGATAACTTGACATTATTTTGGTCTATTTCTACCCAAGCAGAACATTTAGGCGTAACTCAAAAAAAGAAAAGGAGCCTTAGTACCAAATAAAAAGTTAAAGATCTTGTACCAAATAAATATAATTATTACCATTTTAGAGAATGTACACAAGAGCTACTTACTTAAGTTAACATTGTACTTTTCATTGATCAAAACTCTCAGGCGATCCATGTTTGTTTTAGGTTGATCTGGATCTGGACTCCACATTAACTTAGGAGCTGATGTGCTGTGACTTTCCATTTTAAATCAGACTATTTCTGAACAGGTATAAAACTCCTGTGCTGAATTGTCCTTTTACCTATTACAGTATTAGTCTATACAATTTTAGGGTAGACTAGGGTAGACTCTAAAATGAGTCTAAAATCAACAAAGAGTGAAGAGTAATCCAAGCAATCACATGACCAAAGACAATTACCTGTAATATATGTAGTGAAAAAAAAAAAAAAATAATGTTAGTGAAAATTTACATCAACGACAACCATATAATTATAAAATTAACAATAACAATATAAGCCTAGGCCCTACTATTTATTTATTTTCTAATTTTCAATTAAGCCTAAAGTCTAAAGCTTAGTTAATTACTAAGATAGCTTAGGCATATACTTTTATAGGCCTATTAAAAAAATTAATTAAAATATGCTACTAAATCCAGACTCTAGCTAGATCTAAAATCTAATTATTTCTAATGAATTGAGACTTAAGTGTAGCCTCAGTACAATTGAACTACTACAATTACTCTAATAAAAATATCCAGAATTAGCTTATTCTATTTATTATTTAATTTAGCCAATGAGGACTGCTCGGAGTTCTTTTTCTTCTGATTTTGTGCTAGTGAATCAATGGGTCGATTCAAAATTTCATATAGATCTAAGTCAAGTTCCCCTTCCAAACCTGACGGTCTATGGCCGGTCTATGGGGTAAGTGAAGTACTAGAATCTAGATCTAGTAGTAGTACTAGTTCACCTGTTTCTGTTACCTGGGCATATGAACTTATGAAGGGATAGTGTGGTCAGCTACCTTTACTTTCCTTAACATTAGTTAAGTTGGGTGGATTTAGGGACAGTCTACAGACTTGAACCTGGATTCAAACTCCAGACTTGTGAGTTAGCAGTCTTAGACTGGACTTAGTCTTAGACTGAGTCTAGCACTCCTCTACTGACTCTGAGTCTACTGCTACTCAAGTTACTCAACTCACTGGCCTAGGCTACACCATCCCATGAAATATTTAATTTTAAGTCAACTAAGTTAAGTCTTGCTCTTATTTTTTTTAAATCAAACTAGAAATCTAAATCTATAAATTAGTAATTAGTTTATTTTTCTTTTAAAAACCTACATTAAATTAGAAGTATTTTGACACTGTAGGTGTAGACATTAACTCAAACAGCGTCAATCGCCAACACTTAGCAGATGAAATGCAAGGTAGTCAAGGCCGCTCGTATGGTACGACCCTCTTACCATTTCCGGGTAAGGAAATAGTACGTTATATACGTATTGATGTAAACTTATTTTTCAGTTTACTCTGTGATATCCATAGTGAATGTTGTTCAAAATAAAATTATTTATTTTTTACATATTTTATATAAACGGAATGCGAGTTAAAATTAGATATTTTATATTGTATGAATACATGTGCAGATCAATGACCGACTTATTTGCTCTAGGTGCATACTTATTTTATATCCAAAATAGTTTTTCTTTTTTTTTTTCAAAAATTATTTCATTTATAAAAAATTGAATTTTTTAAAACCAAACTTCAGTCAAAATAAAATGTGAATGGATAGCACTTAGATCTAGTACACAACAATATCACTCAAAAAGAGACATTGAGTTCAAGGCAGTTTATTTACAATGTTTTTTTTTGGGAGGGGGAGGGCAATTTGTTAGTGTTTTTTACTGTACCCATTGTCATTAGACATTAGGGGGTCATCCATAAATGACGTCACGCTTTTTTTGGACGATTTTTACCTCCCCCCCTTTCCATCACACGTCGTCACAAAAAGCTAGACCCCCCCCCCCCTAAAATGTCGTCACACCTCAGCCTACAACCCCCCTCAAAATTGCAGTTGAATTTTTTTTTTTTTAAACAGCTATATTTTTCCAAAATCTTGTCTGAAATCTGTCAAAATAGAGTATTTTAATCAATTGTTATTACAATTTATTAAAACAGTTTTCTAAAACGCAAAATAACGTCTAAAATTCGTTTTCTAACATTGCTTTTTTTATAATGTTAAAGTGTGACGTCGCACCATCTGAACCCCCCTCCCCCTCATCACACACCGTCACAAAATTACGGACCACCTCTCCCCCCTACGAGTGTGACGTCATTTATGGACGACCCCTTAGTGTCAATATCCAAAGAGATGATGTCAATAGAAAAAAATCGGAAATGATACTAGATCTAGGTAACTTTATCGGTAAAAAAATAAGAAAATATAACAAGCTTTCCTTAGATAGACTATAAGATAAGGACTGTAATATCGGCAAAATAGTAAGAATTTTATGAAGGGTCGTCCATAAATGACGCCACAGTACTAGGGGGTTGGGGACGATGTGTGATGAGGGTGGTCATATAGTATGACGTTACACATTTCCATTTTTAAAAAGTAATGTTAGACACTGAATTTTGGCAACTACTTTGCGTTTTAGAAAAATGTTTAAGTAAATTGTAATAGAAATTGATTAATACTAGTCCATTAATACTAACCCATCTCATTCAATATTTTAGAAAGAAATCAATGTTTTAAGAAAGTAAACAATTTTGAGAGGGGTTGTACGTTTAGGTGTTGGGTGGGAACGGTCTGTTTTTTTCTGACGATGTCTGGCAGAGTAGAACGGGGAGATAAAAATAAAAATCCTTAAAAGGGTGACGTTATTTATAGATGGCCTCTTAACTGTAGTGTAGTATTTAGTTTTAACTTAAGTAAGAAGTTGTTTTTGTTTGTTTGTTTTTTTGTAATTATTTTATTATTTTTTGTGCACATATATCATATGTCATATGATCTTGAATTTTTTTTATACTGTTAGTGTTTTTAAAAGTCTCCTGTTAAAATATTATGCAGGCTTTATTCATTTTCTATTTAAAGATAAGTCAATGCCCCAAGCATAACTAGATCTATAAACTACTACTACTAGATCTGTAAGATCTAGATCTCTGATCTAGTACTAGTAATGTATTAGATTAGTAAACTAGATCTAGAGTACTTTTTTAATTAACTATTTTTAACTATTTTCAAGTAGGCTATCTATATATATCTATATATATAATTCTCCTCTTCGAGCCGTTAGAAAACAAGATGCAAACGCTCTCCCTACCTCCCCACCCCTACATGGTTTTAGTGAGCTGTGTTCACTCTAAATGTTTACAAGCAGAGCCAACGATTTTAAACGTAGGGGGGGAGGGGGGGTTATGGTCCTTAACGAGCTACTTATAGTGTTTTAAAGAAATATTTTCAGTGTCAGCGTTGGTACTGTCGAATTCACAAATTATGAATTATTGAAAATTAGAAACAACTAAATAGCGGCGTATGTTATGCCGCGGGCCGGCTCGTATATATATAATTCTCTTCTTGGAGACGTTAGAAAACAAGCTGTAAGCGCGCCTTGCAGTCTCCTCGCTTCCTCTCTAGGAAGTCTGGTGAGCTGTGGTTCACGCTAAATGTTTAGTGACGGCTATTAGGGGCAGATAATTTAGTTTGAAACGATTTTAAACTTAGGGGAGGTAACTGAGAGGAGGCTGCTTTCACCGGGGGGGGGGGGTGTAGGTTACTAGGTTAGGGGTTGGGGGTTGGGGAAAGGAGGGTGGGGGTAGTATTGTCCTTAACGACCTACTGATAGTGTTTTAAAGCAAATATTTTCAGTGGCAGCATTGGTACTGTCGAATTCACAAATTATGAATTACTGAAAAGTAGAAAATAAAACAACTAAATAGCGGTGTATGATAAATTGATATTCCGCGGGTCGGCTCGTGAAGTATAAAGTTACAAATATTGAGCTGACCGGATAACAAAAGTTGAGTAGGTCAAAAGTTAAAGTTCATAGGTTGCTGTCATTTTGTTTTCTAAGTTTGTCACTGTCAGTATACAGTAAACAGTCTCGACTCAAGGGTAGATCTATAGTTCTAGAAGTAGAATTCTAGTATAGATTTAGTTAATACTAATTTAATAATACTAATTGGGTAATCTACGTAAAATCTACGATAATCTATTGTTTTAGGTACGTAAAATCGTCCGCGACTAGTAGTCTAGTAAGTACTAAGTAGAGAATCCCAGAATTGAAATTGTCAATGTGAAAAACAGGTGACTCCTTTTAATTTTAAATTAATAAATTTTAATAATTATTTCACATTTTGAGGAGGATTTAGAAACATTTCTAGATCTAGAATCTATGTTTTGAAAAATACAAAAATGTTTCCTTGTTTCATTTATGTACCTGTTTGTAAACAAGTGAATTAAAACTTTTTAGTAATAAATGAAGACTAGCGATGTTTCCAACAGATGCAACCATGTTCATTTAATAGTACACATTTACTATACTCTATAGCCTATAGATCTAGCAGCCAACTTGTTTAAGTTTTTTTTTTTGTATACTTATAGCACGAGATTCAGAGGAAGCCACTCTATTTTACAAATGGCTGCTGTTTATATATTATATAGCAAATCTTGCTCGCAAACACTACTAGCTAACTTAGTACATTACTAGCTGCGGGCGATTTTACTTAGGGGTCATCCATAAATGACGTCACACTCGTAGGGGGAGGGGGGGTCCGTAATTTTGTGATGGTGTGTGATGAGGGGGAGGGGGGATCAGATGTTGCGACGTCACATTTTTGCATTATAAAAAAGCAATGTTAGAAAACGAATTTTAGACGTTATTTCGCGTTTTAGATAACTGTTTTAATAAATTGTAATAGTTTAGACAAGATTTTGGAAAAATATCGATGTTTTAAAAAAATTCAACTGCAATTTTGAGGGGGGGGTTGTAGGTTGAGATGTGACGTCATTTTAAGGGGGGGGGGGGGTCTGGCTTTTTGTGACAACGTGTGACGGAGGGGAGGTAAAAATCGTTCAAAAAAGCGTCGTCATTTATGGATGACCCCTTACTTAAAACGATAGATTACCACTTATTGTATTCTATAGTCCTACTCTATTAAATTTATTTAACTAATTATTAATTTTTAAAAAGTAGCTATGGCACACCGCAGATTAGGAAATATCAAACTAAATGAAACAGTTGTATTCGTTTGTGACATTCAAGAAAGATTTAGAGGCGCTGTCGAATATTTCTCTGAGATTGCAGAAGTTTCTAATCGCTTGGTGAGTAAACAAAAAAAGATTTCTTGATCTAATTAAATCTAGAATCTAGATCTAGATTCTAAGACCTAGATCTAAGTGGTGATTTGTAATGAAAAGTTGAAAAGTGTGTGTCACTGTGTAAGATAGTGTGAGTGTTCAGTGTAAGTAAAGAAAAGAAATGCTGGTATACTCAGTAGCGAGGTCGGGTGTCACCTGGTGCGGCACTTAATGGTGTCACCCCCCCCCCCCAGAGGCGTAGCGACCCTTCCCGGGGTCAAACTTTCAATTTTTTTATTTGCACCCCCCCCCCCTCAAACGTTTGATTTGCACCCCCCCCCCCCCTCAAATTTTTCTCTATATATTTTGCTATTTTTTGCCTTGGTGTCACCCCTCTAAATGGTGTCACCCGGTGCAATCCGCACCCCCCCCCTTGCTACGCCTCTGGCTATACTATACCTATACTATACATTCACTATTACCTAGACTAAGGTTAGTTTTTATCAGTAGATCTACTAACGTGATATCTAGATCTAGTTGTACTTGTCTATTTTTACTATTTTTATTTAGTAGGCATATAGTAGTTGTAGTGTAGGCTACAAAATTTACTTTTTACAATTATGCAAGCCATTAAGACAAAGTAGCAGTTAGTAGTATGGGAGTCATCCAAAAATGCTTTTTAGCTCCCCTTAAAATAAATCTTGCACTCTCATTCCTCCTTTCAGAATCCACTCACAGAAGTGTGATATCATTTATATTTTATTGATGACCCTATGGCATAAGTCTAACCACTATCTAATGGGCAAATATCAAAAGTATTTTGATATAGTTTAACTATAGCCTATACTATAGATATATATAACATATATTTTATATTTAAGACAGCACCTAGCATTTTTAGACCTATTTCCTCAATCATTCAAGGTTCTATTTTACTAGTTGTAGAATATTTACATATCTAGGCATCTAATCTAGTAGATTTTATTAATAATTAAGTAAAATTTACAATTCCTTAAAGTGACATCTTCATATTTTTTTCACCAGACAGAGGCATCCAGGATTTTGAATATTCCTCTAATAGTAACTGAACAGGTATGGTCTGTGTGGATGATTGTGCAATGTGCAGCTTGATGCCTATATATTATTTCACTGTCTTTATTTGTTTATTTAGTAGACTGAGTATATAAGTTATGATGTCCAAAATAAAAAAAAACTTAGTTAAAACTCTGAAATCAAACCAGAGTGGTGCGCCTTAGGTGATAAGATTACTAGATCTAACTCTGGTTCCTTTTATAGTTAGCTCCTGTAGCACTGCTGATTCCAAGCTGTACAGTTAACGACCTGTCCCTTGGCCCCCTCACCTTAATCTGCCACTGATAGTGATCTAACTCAGATAATCAATTCTACCTCTTAGTCAGGCACATGCTACCAAAATATTCTTAATTAACAGATCAAGATAATGCAGAAACAATGTTATAAACCAGGGGTCTCCAAACTTTTCAGTCAGAGGGCAGCTATAAAATTTCAGTTCGGGGGCCAGTTTCTTCCAGGCATGTCTTTGATTTTTCTGGGCAAAATCCCTCAGCCACCAACAACAAACGTTTTTTTCCGTGGACAAAATGATCTCTGCGGGCCAGATGAGAGGACCTCGCGGGCCGGATGCGGCCCGCGGGCCGTAGTTTGGAGACCCCTGTTATAAACAAAGGAATAATCAAACATTTAAGCATAATTGAAATTAGATTGTTTTATATTCATTTTGTAAATTGTTTTTAACTTATAAAAACTTTTGAAAATGTAATTGTTGATTTATATATATATATACATATTATACTTTTCAAAAACAAATGTTATTGTAGCCTTTTTCTCCCAGTACCCAAAGGGTCTTGGTAGCACCGTGTCAGAAGTGAACATCACAAATGCTGTTGGTGTGTTCCCTAAGACAAAGTTCAGCATGGTTCTACCAGAGGTGGAAGAAAAACTAAAGACACTTTGTGGTGGCAACGTGCGCCACATTATTCTTTGTGGTGTTGAGGTAGTTTATTTTAAAATTATACTTTTTATAAAATTTTGATATGCTTTAACATCAATACATAAAATTAAATAAAGCATTAAATTGAAAAAATATTAAAGTGGTATAATAACATTGAATCATCTAATAAATACCTTACTTGAAGTTACATTTAAGTATCATGCATCATGAAGATTGCTGAAAAAATGTTGTTTGTGTAAGGTATATACTATAAATGAAAATGTTCTGTAATGTAGTTTGTTAAATTCGTATAAAATTGAATGTGTGATTTATGTCTGAAAAAATAAACTAAACTATGTTCAGAATAGGAATCATTCATTAAAGGTGGAAACTCTTCGTATTCTTTTCATAGGCCCATGTCTGCATCCAGCAGACTGTGATAGACTTGTTGAGTCAAGACTTTGAGGTTCATGTTGTTGCTGATGCTGTATCGTCCAGAAACCAGGTCGACAGAATATTTGCTTTTGAGGTTAAAATTTTTTTTAACTATTTTAACTAAATTAGATTTTTTTTCTTTAAATGACCAGATTCCCAAACTCCTGAAATATGTACTGAATTTAATTCACTAACTGTTAAACAATTGAATTTAAAAGTAATAAAATTGGCTTTAATATATTGCTATAACTGCTGTTCTTTTGTAATGGCTAACAATCCTGCACTAAGATCTAATAATGTTACAGAAATTCAGTTTTCTGGGATGTATATTAATAATATTATCTACTAGATTTTTAAAAAATTGTTAAATTATTAACCTTCCAATGAAATAATTCCAGAGGTTTCGGCAAATGGGAGCATATGTGACAACAAGTGAAGCAATTCTCTTACAACTTGTTGGGGATAAAGATCATCCACAGTTTAAAGAGATTCAAGGGTTGATCAAGGTTTTACCTCCTGGCTCAGGGCTGATCAACAAATTGTGAATGTTTTTATGCTAAACTAGAAAATAAATGTTATATTGTATGTGGTAACTTCTTTTTAAAATGGTTCATTTAATACAGCAATTATTTCCGGAGCCTATGTTTTTGAGCAAGCATACGATTTAATATATTATCATTCCTCATGCATTGCATTTTTTTATACTTTCTTCTCCCCATAGAAAATGTTTCAATGTTAACATTAAGTGCTTCATTCAAAGACACACAAGTATTGTACTTCAAAATTTTTAAAATATGTTTTGTGTAATATTAAGTTGCAGTTATATGATTTCCATATTTAATAAATATTTCTGAAGTTTTTAAAAATTTTCAATAATTTTTTTTGATACATAATGATTGTATTTAGATTTTTGTTTTTGAAATCAAACAATTGAAATTGCATTGCTTTTTTTTTGCAGTTAATAACGTTAGACATGTTTCAAATTATTAGACCACTCTTTTGATTACTAATATAAGTCTTGGCCCCCTCATCTAAACAACATGGGTCGGCAGATGTCTTTTTAAATGTGAAGCTACCATCTTCTATAGCCAATTGCACCAAGTCTACAAGTGTGGACGGTTTTGACCAACAATAATCACCAGAACTTGAAAGTGAAGAAAATTCTGTGTACTATAACTGGTTTTTCTTTCAAAATACTATGGATATCAAGATATTAACTGTTTTTTTAGTATATCTTTCACATTTTTTTTATTTTCTGAATTTAGATATGCTATTGTATTTTTTCTAATATTATTTTTTTAATAGGAACCCCCTCTTATTTTTATAGAGTCGCACACCTTCCTTCTAAATATTATGGATATCAAGATAATGTTTTTTTTAGTATAGCTTTCACATTTTTTAATTTTCTGAATTTAAATATGCTAGTGTAGTTTTTCTAATATTAATTTTTTAAATAGGAACCCCCTCTTATTTTTCCGGAGTTGCACCCCTTCTATTAAGTTTTTATCAAGATGTAGCCCATGATTTCTACATGCAGTAGAACATTAGCCAAATGTGAACCCAACATAAAACATGAATTTAAAAAATTGGATGGTTGAGCAATAGAGTCTCAATTTGGGGTCAAAGTGAGGACATCCTGAGTCGACATGGCTTTGATGGAGACTTGAGTTGATTGTGAAGACAACTGGACATAGTATTGACCTTACTATTAATATGCCAATGGCCAGGATTTTCCAGGACAAAATCTTAAGTCCATATTACAAATCTACCAGTTTTTTAAAAATTGCTTGTTGTATTAATAGTTAAATTGTATACAAATAGTGGATAGGTTTTCTAAACATATAAGTTATAGCACTGAAAAGAAATAATGTGGATAGAGTTTAAGGATAGGAACATGTAAGTATATTTTACACACTAGATGAGTAAATCACAATGAAAAACAAAAACATGCTAGACTGGATTAATTTTTACAGTAATTGAAAACTTGATAAATTAAAAAAAAAAACAGTTTAGTTTTTTAATAGCTATTTATTGACTATAATCAGCAAGTAGGCGACAAAAAGTTACACATTAATTATTATTGATATTTAGTTTAACACCTAATGAGCTCACTGACAGAAGCATCCAAGACAAATTTTAATACAAGTGCTTGAATCGTCTTAAGAAAAAATATTTTAGATCGTAAAAATTATAAAACAATAAATAAATTAGACTTGGTAGGTTTTTTTGTAACCTCTTAAAATGTCTACCCTATAACAGGCAGTGAAATTTCAAGAGGTTAAATGCAAAAGTGGAAGGGCCACATGGGTCGCAAACTGATCAAAACATTACGAAAGCTCAGTTTTCTCCCCAAGCTCCACACTTTTGTCATTAAACCAAGTCAGATCTTCTCGTAGTTCATGTGGAACAGAATTATTTTCCTGCTTGTGAGCAGAGTTCATTGACACACAATTTGATGTTTATTTTTTATTTTTGGATATAGCATTTCTAGGGGACATAACCTAAATATATGTGGTGGTTATTCGCCTTGGTAGGTTATTTTATAATATCCAATTTATAACTTGAATATTGTTGAATAAAATATCTTAATTTATTAAAAAACACTTTTGATATATTCTGGCACTGTAGAACTGAAAACCCCAACACAAAAAATAACATCCAATAAATTCTGGACTTGTTATGTAACACTAAATGTAAAATTCTATATATGAGGTAACAGCAAACAGCACTGGGGGAGGGGGTGGTAAGGCGGAACTAATGCCACAAAGATGAAAGTGAAGAACAAGAAAAGAAATGTGAAAAGTTCAGTAGCTGGAGTAGGACAAATGAGTTCCAAGTTATAGCAAGGTGAAATCAGTGCTTAATTTTCATTGCACATAAATGGCACACAGGGTCAAACAAGTATCAATTTGCACATTAAAATTTGAATCATTTAGAAAAATATTTTTTTGAATATCAAAAATGTTTAGACAGTTAAACTTGAAATCAATTTTTAAAAAGTGAGCTCTTTATTTCTTAATTGAACAATGAAATTTTTAAAAGCCTTTAATTCAACAGTCATATGAGGGCTATTTTATTAAACCAATAATTTTCTAATTAGTTGGGTTAATGCAGAAACCTAGATAAACTTTTAATTATGCACTAATTCCAACAATGTCGAAGAGCTTATTTTTAAGCAGCTATTTTATAATTCTTTAAATGTATTCTGAAGACGCTGTGTGTTAGTGCTAAGAAATCCCCAGCAATTTTTTTTTTCAATTTTGATGCAAAATAATTCTTAAAATAATTGAATAGAAATGATGTCCTTAAGCAACCAAATACACAAACTGTACAAAACACAGCATAAAACAAAAGATGACAGATAATAATGCTTTAGAAACATTCCAAATATTTTCATAGAACATTCAACATTAGTTAGTTTGTTTCACATAAATAAATTAAAAATTAGCACTAAACATAGGTAAACACTTGTACATTGCATTCAACAAGTTCAACAGATTCAGATAATTATTTTTTAAATAAGAGTTCTTATAGTTGCATGTGCTTAGTTTTGAGACATTTCAAAAAAAAAAAAAAAAAAACATCATCACAAGGTGGATTAGATGCTTTTTCTATGTTTTTTTACAACAACGTTATTCACTCCAAATATTTCCAATTCTATACATTTTTAAAGGTGAAATTCCTGTGGTACATGTTACCACATTCCACAATGAGAACATTAAATAAAAAAACAAAAAACAAGTATAAAAAGAGAACTATTGTATGTGGTTTGGCTTGTCAAAATATCTTCAAATAACTACAATTTCATCCATTCTGTATTTTCTTATTCACTAAAACCAGGAACAAGTTTGGCAAACAGTAAGTACTATAATCATTGAGTTCTTTATTTTTATGCAAAGACATTGAGGGAATGTTTAAATTCATTTTTTTTTTATTTGGACATAAACTTCATGTGAGAATTTATAGAACTTTATAATTTGACAGAAGGACTAAATTTTATTAAAATATTGCCAATTATTTAATAAAATTGGCTTTAATAAGTTTCCATACACACAAAAAAGAAACTACTTCCACAAATAAAACTTGAAGAAGATTTTTAAAACAGGAAGAGTAAAAAAGCATCAACGCTGGTGCTTGAAACAAAGTAAGCGAAAAATTGATATCCGCAAAATGCAAACAAATGCCATACACGTAATGAAATCATACAGGATATACAGGAGGCATGAAAAATATCACACTATGCTACAACTTGCCACTATTCAATAAAAAATAAAAAAATTGCACAAACATGAGCCGAGTAGTAGTTCATGTCTTATTTATTTGCATAACAAGTGACAAGCTTCTGACCAAAAAAAACGGCAATGTTAGTGGAGGTATCGGACTCGTCCAGTTTATTAGCTACACAATTTGATAGTATTTCAACCATTTTAGTTTCATGAGCGTCAAGTACTGCTTAGTACTTTTACAAGCAGAGTATGTGATCTACAATTTGTGGCAGAAACCACTGCAACCATTCAATGACCTTCAACTTGAGAGATTGTTCTCACTGACCACCAGTCTAAGGGCTGAAAGTTTACACTGGGCTAGAAGAATTTAATTTACTTCGACACAATTTTTAAAGGAAAAAAGTTATTGCTCCCCATACATCTATCAGGACTCCTAAAATATTATTTCTCACTTTACCTTTATATTCTAAAGACAAATTTAGACCATTAGATAATTTTTTAAAAGCATTTTTGTATTTAATGACAGACAACATACAATATTTTATAAGCAATTATTTATTTTATTCACTTATAATAAATATTTAGATATATGTGTACTGGCACAGTTTTTATTAGCTAATTACATTTACGTTGCTATATACAATAAGTTATTTACAAATACTTTTCTAAAATAGGTGGATAAAAAAATAAGGAAAACTAGACTGAGTTTGTGGGTGTAGTTCATAACCGGTACTACATTCAAAGCTTTGTGACCTAGTCAAGCAGTGGCGTTAACCGCAGTGCAGAAGTGAAGCTCTTGTCAAGTTAGAGTTTACTGATATTGTAACATTGATAGAGGTATGGAGCACGAGTAGGTGTTTATCACTGACTATTATTTCCCAATACTCTGGGGTAAATTTGACAAGGTGCTAAAAATAAATGTACCAAACTGAAGTGTTACAGTATGAGAAATGACAGCACCTTGATACAAGAGGAACAAACCAAGCCACACTCTACGCACAATGTCCAGCTAGATTTAAGATATTGTACTACATTTCTTACCAATGAAAAGAGCTATGAAGATTTGGTTAGTATTTTAGTTCAAAGGTTACAACTGACACTTTTTTTCTACCTTGCAAACAACCCGTTATGTGCTGGCCAACTTATCAGGGCCTGAATTTGAGGCTTGATATTTTCTACTCAATAGGAAAATAAAAACACTGGGCAAACAACAATGTGAAATGGCCAATCAAAGTGTGAAAAGATACAGGGAGCTTCACATGACAATATTGAATATTTTGATTATTGAACACATAGAGTGATCACATGTATTACGGTCCTGTGACACGGAGCTGAGGTCTCAGGGATGTACGTCTAGTCTTTATGTCAAATTACGTGGCTATGTGTGGGTTTTAAGACTCGCTTGCTAATACTCAAGGCTGAGATGTAAAATTTAATATGACAACTGGTTCAGTTTTAGAATGGTCATGCAAGCTCAGGTGGGTAGACAGAAAACAAAATGAAATTTTAAAAATTCCTAACCAATTAATAACAAAATGAAAATAGAATCACTTTCTGAGAAAATTAACAAAATTTTAAAAAACAAAACGAAAAAATAGCTAGGATTGCCTCTCATTTATTTTAATAATTAGTGTTGTCAATATAATGGCCAGTTCACTGTCAATAATTGTACAAATCTATCAACACAACTGATGATAATGTGCAAACTAGAGCCAAAACAAAGAAGAAAAATTTTGAAGCGGTTGATGCAAGTGTGTGCAATACTGACATAAAAATTCATCCACAAAATAGTACTTCAAGCAGCACGTTAAAAACATCAACACCAAAATGCCTGGTACATTTATATCACAAATAAAAACAATGAGGCATACATATAGTCAGACAAATTGTCCACTATGAGTGTATGGAAGGAGATAAGGGTGTAACAATGGCAGATTCCCTGCTTGCCTTATCATACACCCCTGAGATTGGTCTACACATTGTGTTCTCAAAAAAAAAATATTTCATTTCTAAAAGCCAGTTTGACATATTTCAATCAATTGTAATTTAGATGACTAAAACATATTGAGTTAATTAAGGGTTGCAGACTAGCCCATTCTTTAAAAAAAGGAGCCACAACCATTATATGATAATTTAAATATCCCTTGCCCTTAAATTACAAACCCGGCTGGTTTGGTGTCATCAGCAGTTATCAGAACAAACTCTGTGTGAAGGACCAATGACTTAAAGGAGAATCAACACAAAAGCCACAATGTGTTTGAAACCTAATCACTATGTAAGTTTTGCGGTTAGATCAAAATAATTGGCGTGCAAAATTTTGCAGGAATGTTTCACATTGGGTCTTATTAAAGCAGCCAAATGAGGATATTGTTACCATACATGTTTAAAAAAGAGTTGAAATAGAAATAAAGCACTACTACAACAATGAATCTTCTGTGTGTCAGCCCATCTTACAGGCTGGTAGGCTTCACTCCTGTTACTGGTCTACAGTCCATTCTGGTCATACAATAGTTCTCCTAACGGCATTCCCATACTTTGACTGAATGGTCTACACTTCCTGTGATCACATATGGGGAATTTCTGTGCATATCTAAAAAAAAAAAAAAGCAAAAATTAAAATTAATACTAAATTTTTAAAAATATAAAGCTTAAACTCATTTGCTACAAATGCCTTTCCATAAAACATAATCCAAAAATTTTAAGGGAAATAACATCCAACAACTCTTATTTGAAATTGTTTTAAAATGTCTATCTGTTATAGAATGTATGCAAATCCCAAACCAAAAGAAATGTTTTAACTCAAAGTAAATACATAGTTTGAAATGTTATAGCAGTAATTATTACTTAAGGCTATGCTTGGGGTGCAAGTATGTGGTCCACGTCTGTTTCAAATAAACTGGAAATTTTCCAAAAAACAAACAATATAAAACAAACTTAAATAGTGAAGTATATATTTACCAATTGAAGTAACGAAATGTGGATGTGCTTGCAATGTCTTGTGGTTACGCTTGTTCTGTATATCCCATACTCTTATGGTTTTATCATCAGAGGCAGACAAAATAAACTTGCCACCTGGGTGGAAGACTATGCCTCGTATCCAATTGTCATGACCAGTCTGGGCAATAGAAAAAAATGCCATCAGCAAAAAAGTCACATCATGCCAGGCTTCCCTAGGTAGACTTTGAACAACTGGAAGCTTGTATACTTACCAAAGTGAAGATGCAAACTCCTACACTAACATCCCACATCTTCATTGTTTTATCTCTGGATCCTGATAGTAAGAAAGGTCCTGATCTCTTGGCATTCTTACTCTGACAGATAGAATAAAACATTTGAATGTTAACAACAGCATTTTGTCTAACAAATTTGATTAGAATCAACTGTAATTTACTACCAGTGTTTTTGTCTTCAAAAGATAGAAAAGCCATTGGGCAAGTGAGAAAAATGTTCCAAAACAATGCAATAGGTATATCCATAGCATAATACACTGGCCATTTCATAAAAATGAAAAAAAAAAACAACTGATAAAAGCAACATATTTTTCCAATCAATACACAGCTTTTCCAACAACTGACCTCAGTCCCAGCAGCCTCATTGATGGCAGGTTGAGCTGAATCAGGTGCCCAGGCTATACATTCCACAACATGCTCGTGCTCCCTGAGTTCAGCTTTACATTCCTTTGTGGCAGTCACCCAAACCCGAACAGTCTAAGACACAAATGTAAACATTCTTTCTGAGGGAATCAAATACATTTAAGTATGTGATTAAACTAACCATTTTAAGCCATACGGTGTTGCTATTATAGCCACATCTCAGTGGTTGAGGTTTGTAATTACAACTGATCTTGGTTTACAATTTGACCCATTTGTGTTATAAAAAAACTCAAGTAAAATAAATATAAATACTACAGTAACAGCATTATTATGGTTTTAGAGAAGAAAATATATTACCTGATCATTAGAGCAACTGGCCAGTAAAGATCCATCTTGGTAAACTTTGACCATTCGAACCCATTCTCTGTGGCCAGTGTATGTTTTTATGCAGTAGCTGTTTTTTAAAAGAAAACCCATTTTTATTCCATTGACAGATAGGAACTTAAGTTTTGTACTAGACATAGTTCAGCCACAATACAATCTAACTCTTGGAAACTTAAGGGCATGGGCGGGTGATGAGTACCAACTTTCTTATTTCCGAGTCTAAAGATGTAATACTTGGCTAATAGTTATAACTCAAAGAGTTAAGCATAAAAATATTTTTTTTAATTTTTTAAATCTTGCGTTGCCATGGTGACAGCGGCCATATTGGATTTTATTAACGATTTTTAAATGGAAATAACTCAAAAATGGTTTGTACAAATTTCATGAAAACTTAATATAGTCTGCAGACACATGTGTTTAAGACTTCTGATAGATTACATTTTCAAAAAAGAAAATAGTTTTTTTTTTACTTTTTTTTTTCAAACATCACTGTAAAAATTTCATTATTTCGTCCAATTTTTTCACTATTTCAACAACAAAAATTTTTTTTTTACAAAAATTCCAAAAGTGTTCTATCAGTTTTATTTGAACATATATAAAGAGTAACTGGAGCAAATTTAGTTCAGTTCTGATAATTATTAACAAAGTTATTTCAACAATTGTACAAAAAAACATCAAACTGAGAAAAACGCAAAAAACTAACAAAAAGTTGCAAAAAATGAAAATTTATCGCTGTATGTCACTAAAATCGACCACATTTATAGCCTGAAGTTTGGTGCTGCTGAATATATTCCTTCTGAGCTTGTTCGGCTGTTAGTTTTATTTTTTTCTGGCGCTCTTTGTTTTACCTAGAGTTGTAGTAAAGCTGTTGTCATGGCGTCTTTTTTCGCGTCCTTCACTGAGTCTTCGACTATGGTTTCCTTCTTTTGACAGCAATGCCATAACATGCCTGGGCCCAAAATTGAATTATGCTATCGCAGAAACAGAAGTATATTTTGCATGGTCTCATGTCTAAAGCCAATTATGATAAGACGATGTCTTTGTTTATTGTGAAAGGCCTTGTTCTGGATTCTTTTGCAGTTGTATACTTACGGTTTACAACATTTTTATTACTGCCACACCATGCTTGAAGCAAACCCTTTACACCTTTTTCATCAATAGTAGCCACTACATCACATGTATTGATAACATCAAGAAGCAAATCACAGTCGACAATAATTCTGCATGGCTGTGGTTTACAATTAGTACTACCAGTACGAGATGTAACAGTGCTTTCTTCTGTCTGTAAAAACTGTGTCTTACATTGCCGCAGTTTCTTAGTAAATGTGCATATTACATCTGCACCAGTGCTTGTCTGAATAGTGCTAGATTGAGTGGAGGTAGCTGCAATCAGTTGCATTCGGACGTGCCCTAGCTTTAGTAAATTAGTTAGATGTGTGTAGTGTATCTATTTTTAGCGAGTGTTTTGTTCTACGCATTATCGAAAGAGAAACAAATTAAATCGCCTCACTGCTTATGATAATTCACACAAACTAATCTAAACTGTTAATAGTATATTTAATTGAAATAATTATATGTTAAAATAATGTAAGTATTTTACAGAAGCTTAGAGAAACAAAACTAGATCAAACTTAGCAACGCGCTGAAACTAAGGGAATGTTTACTTACGAAGCGAAACGACCAATCGCTAACTAGCTTCCGCCGCCGTATGCCAATGAAAAAATTGAGGTCAAAAATTTGCATACCGGAAAAACCCGACTGAGTAAAATAAACAACTTTATGACGTAGAAAAATAATCACATTAAAATAGGTATTTTGATTGGTCATTTAATTTTAGAACAAATAAAGAAAGGAGGTCACGGCCTTTCCATTGATATGAAACACATTAGGTTTCCGCGAAGCCTAATAGTACTTTTCTAGGTCGAAAAATTGCTATTTTTACTAAAAAATTAAACAAAAGACCCTGTACACACTACATTGAACCCGGTTTTTCATAATTAAATACTAATTTTAGGGTCATAACAATGTCATTTTTAGATTCAACGATGGTTATTCTGTATAGATCAAGTAAAAGTGGGAAATCGATGATTTAGTGGATTTATGACGAAAAGTACACCCGCCCATGCCCTTAAGAACTAATTTTACACTACAAATGAAAGTGTTGGATGTAAAACATACCCTGTAGCCACCTCCCACATTTTAATAGTTTTATCTCTGGATGAAGAGACAACAAAATCTCCTGATGGCATGAATGTAACACTGGAAACATTGTGGTCATGACCTAAACAATAGACAATTACTTTGATTACAATACATAGAAAACTTTTTCAACAATAATTGACTTTCATAAAATTAATTTTTCTAAGTTTTACAAGAAATGTTTTAATGGAAAGCAAATCACTAACAGTAAAAACAAACAAGAAGTTATACCAGTAATTAGCCCCCATAATCTGACCAAAAATAGTGTTGTGTTTAATGACTTCCGGACTCAATGAACGATGAGTAAATTATTGTACAATTTTTTACACTTCCTAAAGTACTTATACTCACCCATCATTGTCTTGATACATTCATATCCATTGAAATCCCAGATTTTTATACTTAAGTCTGCTGAGCATGACACTGTAGAGTGGCAATATATTATCAATTAATTTTGTAACAATTTTATTAATTCTAGTTATAAGTAGTAAAATGTTAATATTGATCAATTGAGCTTGCACCAAACAGACATTACATATTAATGAAAACACTATTTACCAAGATATTTGCCAGCACTGTCAAAAGCTACGTCTTGTACAGAGTCTGTGTGACCTTTGAGTGTTCTCTCATAGTCACCAGTTTCATAGTCCCAAACCTGGATAACAATGGGGAAATATTGGGGTCAATTACTCCTTTTGTAACAGGAAATATCAACTCATTTTATTAATATTTTAAAAACAAAATGTATTTAACATAATTAGGGAATCTTAAGAAATCTAAAAATGTAAGAGAAACCTACTCTGATAGTAGCATCTTCACTGCATGAAACCATAACACTGAAAACTGGGTGAAACACCACACGTGTTATAGGACTGCGGTGACCATTCAGGCTGTATCTTTCTGGAGGGCGGGGAATCCATTCACCTGGGGATCTGCGGTCTCGAGTTGGGGCACCACTGTTAACTTCTTCTTCTGCTTCTGCCAACTTGGTTTCTAGATCCATCACCTTTATTTGAAAAATAAGAATAATAGAAATAAAAATATACATTTTAGACTAAGTTTTCTTTACGTACAATGTATTTTTATCAAAATACCTTTTTCTGTAGTCTGATAACAGAGGTCCATCTTTTTTCAAGTAATCCACTGAATTTCTTTTCTATCTCTGGGGTCTAATGAAGTAAATATTGAAGAAAAAAATTGAATAAAAGTCAAATGAATTATTTTATTAAAATGTATTCATTTCATTGTTATTTTAAGCCATAAAAATATGGAGTAAAAAGGTATTACCATGCCAGCCTCTTTTTGAAAGTGTTCAAGTGCACCTTGAAATCCATTTGTATACAGGTAGTCTGCTATAGCTTTGTTGCTGTTAAGATTTAAACAAATTTTTAAAAGGATAAATATTAGCAATTATGTGGCTGTTGATGAAGTTATTGAGCATATATAGTCTTCAATGGTTCTAGATGGTGAAAAAGTTCCTCTTGTCTGTGTGAAACTAATACCCAAATACAGTTAAATACAAGAAAGAAACACAATCACAGCTGGATATTTAAAACAGATTACTCAGCTTATTTGAAAAGCGGATTGTTTTTACCTAACTTTTATTCTAAAGCATATAGATATATTTGGTCTACTAATATAACTGTGATGTACAATTTTGTGGGGTTCTTTAATTTGCATGAAATATCTATGCAATGTGGCAGGTGATCATCAAGTTGTGGAAGGATTCTGTACTACACAGGAAGTATTTAATTATATTTTTTTGCAGAGTAACAGCTGTATAAATATTTTATGTGGTGTCATGTTTTCATAACTCTACACTTAGAGAAAGCTGTATGCTTTTAATTATTTTTTATTAGTTGCATGAAACTAGCTCTTCAGTTAATTTCTTAAGAGTAGTCTGCTTGAGTAGAGAGGGACAAGATGCTTTCAATGCATTGTTATAGTTCCAACAATTCTTAGAACTGATAGAGGAAGTCTTACACTTGACCTTTTCAAATATTTGCTCACGCCCAAGTACAGTGAGATAATGACTAAGAGCTGGGTCCCATTGCCCACCCCTCCACCCGAGAGATCGACCCTGGTGTAGCGAGGTAGGCTTATGGCCAAGCTAATTTTTTTCCTCCCCTCCCCTTCATCACACCGGACATGTGTGAACTTAGCTACAGGTAAAGCACGCGAGTTTTGGCTGGCTACAGGTAACGCGTTTTTCATCCATATCAAACCCGAATCCGAATGTGAGCTATTTTAAGCCTATAAACAAGAGGAGGGGCGAGGAGAGAATGGGGGTTAACTCCCCTGTCGGTATTCATTGAGATAAAGAGATGCGCGGAAGGCTAGCCTAATCTATTTCTGAGCGCTACCGTACGGTGACGTCACTCACAACGGCAACTCATTGGTTCAAGATTTTAGCATTTTCTCTGCGATTAACCTGGGACTCCGTCTTTTATTGAGTTTAAACTGCTATTAAAACTAATTTAGAGCATCGTGAGGCGAAATGCAGGTGAAATATGTCATAGGAGCAGGATAGTCGGAACACGTCCTCTATACTCGCTGTAGTAGGTCAAAGGACAAGGGAAGAGTAAACGCCGGGATGATAACGGATATGGTTAATTAAGTACAGCGTAGTACAAACTACGCTAATCGTTACTCGGATTGAATAAACAAGTTGTTAATGCATATTAACAAAGGGGGGGGGGGTATACATTTTTTCCTTGAATTCAAATATCCATGCTCGCTGACAAAACGTCACCAACGGACCGTCACCAACATACCCACTGTGTCGCTACCAACATTCGTTAAGTAATCTAATACCATCGGACGGCCTACCGGTAATTAGATTAAATATGTAAATGAGCTATCGAAATATCGATTTCTTCAGCCAAGACCCAACCTGTCGATGTCTGGATCACACACGGCGTTAAGGATAAAGTGGATCGCCTGTCGCAACAAAAAAAAATGTAGGAAACAACCCCGCCGAGCCCATACATTATTATACAACTAGCGCCCCAACGAGAGCAGCTATCCCAAACACCGATAGTGCTTGAATTCCACATTCCCCATTCGGCATTCTTCCCGCGCTGTGTCGCCGGGTTTATTCAATGAAAAAGTGTGGCAGCCAAAAATATTGTCCAATGGATAAAAAGGCCGCCTTGCCGCTGACGTCAGCCAGAGCCCATTGAGTGAAACACAAACAGCCACTAAATCTTGTATCAACCAATACACTGGCGAGTTGTTTAACGTTCGCCTTTTAAATCGGGCCTTTATTTGTCTTACACATAGAGCTGATTAACATCAGCGATTTACTTACAACACGAATCACAGAGACATGAGTGCCTCTGTAGAAAATTGTTTACAGCTGATAAAGAGTGGACACCCCACCAATCGATAGAAGCCCAGCGATGACGTCACACGGGGTACCATGTAAATAAAACGACATGGCAGTGAGCTTTAACCAGCTAGCCAGCACCAACCCTAGCACGAGATATTACCAGATAACTCCCCACTGCACAAACTATGGTATCCAATAATCCAACAAAAAATCGATGGGAAGGGGAGGGAGGGCGGGACCGTCTACAATACACAGAGTCAGCAAGGTTGGTCGGTATAATTGACATAAGCGTAGCGGATTAGATCACCCAATGTACTTGGCATGTGGTGTTGACTTGTAATTGTGCTGCGCCTACTAGTACAGTGGTTCACCAACTACACAACAACACACCAGCTACACAACAACACAGCCAATGTTTAAACCATCCATGTGTTCTATGACCAGGCCATCAAAATGCAAGGGTTCACCCTAACACACCAGCTACACAACAACACACCAGCTACACAACAATATACCAATGTTTAAACCATCCATGTGTTCTATGACCAGGCTATAACACAGAGTTGTAAGCCAGGGTTGAAGGACAATGAGCTATCATTAATTAAAGGTGACACTGGTCAATACAAGAGACATAAACCACAGGTGGATGGTGTACAATGAGATAATGGGGGAGGGGGGGGGGGGGGGGGTAATTTATCAATGGACTTGTGTGTCAACAATTACCAACACAAACTAGAAAGCTTAACCAAGCTAATTGAACTTTTACACCAGGTATGTACAGATGAGGGAGGGGTAAAGATAAGGGGTAAATATAAACCTAGAGTTATCAATTACATATGATTCACAATTATATAATTAAAATGTCTGGGTGATACGATGTCACACTTTAGCACTACTAAAAGTAATGTAGTGTAGCTGTAAAGTAATTTCCCATATTTAAAAATAATTGGATTTTTTTTATTATTGACATAGAGAGGAAGGGATAAATTATCAGCACAAAGATGTATTGTTTTTATTAATGGAAGACTCATAAACACTACCCTAATTACAGATGTTTATTTTCTTTGAAAGAATAGCACAATAAATAAATAAAAGATACAGGTTTTCCTGTAAATTTAAATCTATTTACATATATGAAAACCATTTTAATTAAATGATTTCAGCCTTAAGTTCTGGCAACATCAGACATGTTATTGAATGTCACTTGACATTACTACCAAAAACCCTTTCAGAAGCATAAGATAATTTGTGAATGCTAGGATGAATAGTTAAATGAACAAGAGACCAAAATTTTGTGGTTTCTAAATGTCAAATGACTATTGGACAACAAAGTTTGGATTCAGCTACTGGAAGCCTGGCCAACAGTATAGCCAAATTCTTTCTGGTTTCAAGTTATTGATCTTAGAAAATAGCCCCACCCCCTCCACATCTCATTCCTGGCTATTTTTAAACAGGACCACATGAACCAACAAGGAGAGAGGGGGATGAAATGGAGGCAGATGGAAAACTAAGGGACCAGCCACTAATCACATTATGACCTATTGACAATGAATTCTATAAGAAAAGGGTCTAGTTGCTTTTAGAATTGCGTGCTTGATATTAGTATGGGTCAGTAATACTTGGGAGTAATTGTTTCTAAAAAATGTCTAACTGTAAAAACATATAAATACAGAATACATATATTGATAACTTACAGTTCATCTTTTTGTCTTTGAGACAAAACCATCTTGAAGAATCCTTTCAAGAAGGTAAATCCACTTATGAAGTAAGAACTTTGAAAATACAGCAAATTATTTCAGGACAACTTAGAATGTTGCCATTATACGTATCCCTGGGATCTGGAAAGAAAAATGTGAACAGCTATATATTTTGACTCCAGGATATGTTAAAGATTATGATCAAGCTTAAAAAATTTAAAGATACCATAGGTAACAACAGGAATATAGAAATATGATAATACTAGAATAACCCTGGTTTACTACAGACTATTACAGATATTTTACAGTTACAGTATAAACTTCTATTGTTTATGAGCTGAATTTTTAGTAAAAGTATTGTTTGCATGAGAAAACAAAAAATTAGGCAAAAAACTAAGAAAGAATATAATTATGAACTATCTGATTCATTGGTAAATAGAAGTTTGTAGCCTCTACTCCAGACCATGAAATATTTAAAAAGAAAAGGTTGGCTAAAAATAACACCAGAACATAATCACTTAAAAGTCTAGAGTGGAAAACAGCAGGAGAACAAAGTTGGCATCATGCTGTGATATTCATAGTCAACTTTAACAGGGTCACTGTAACCTGGCACATGTTATTCAATGGAGCCACAGTGTTAAAAAGTGAGAACATAATTCAATTTTTAAATAGTTTTAAAAATCATCAGTACAAGACACCAAAGCAAATCTACATACAAAAAAATAATTAAAAGCCTGATTACTATATGTGCCTTTTTATTCTATATAACATACATTTTTTTTGTTTAATACTAATAATAGTCCTCCCTAGCCATTATGTTTGTAAAGTGGACCCCCTAAGAATACTGAACATATTCAAGCCTACTACTTGTTAAACAGGTTTAGAGCTAACAAACCTATTGATGCTTTAATTGCTTTAGACCAAAGTCTTTTGACTAGACTTAGAGACTAGACCAATGCATAAAAGTAGGTAAACAGTTTCTCCCACCTAAGCCATCACCATGTAAATTAGTTGTAACTATACTAACACATGCAGTAGTGGTAGGCCTACATATACAACTCTAGCCTGATCAATTTTCATTAACTAGAGGTGACATGTAGATAACAAATGGCTTCAGAGTTACACTAGTTTAAGAGGCTTTGATAATTTGCATGTCTTTATCTCACTTAAAGAAGTTACACAGAATCATTTTGTGATAAACATTATTTCCTGAAGAAAGCTTACCGTTACACTATTGGAAGTGTGGGATCTAAATACATTTCCCTACTGACAACTAAAGAGTTCTTTTATATCCAACATACTATGCTATAATTCTTAAAATAGGCTTACATACATTTAAGACCTTAAGCATGAAGTTCTTTGGTAAGATAAAATAAAATAATGAGATTTGTTTAATTAAAAAAATAAAAACTATAGGGCCTTTAAAAAATATAGGTTTAGAAAAATGTTAATTATTATCTATATCAATAGTTGTACCCAGTGGGAAAAGTACCTTAGTGTAATTTGAAAGTTTTGAGAAAAACAGTTGTATTTAGTATAAAACTCAACCACAAAGATGATTTTGCAAATGCAACAAAATATTTTAAAGTAAGGTGCAGTTTAATCATTTTCGATCAAAATAATCAAATGTGTAAGTAATTTTTTCCATTGAGCCCTTCAAATGTGCATTCTGATCACACATTTAATTTTAATTTTGAAGGATTTTATTAAATTGTACAAATATATTTGAGATTCTGATCAGATGTGTCTAAATGTTGAGCCTCTTAATCTTGTTTTGGGTAGTGAAATAAAAACTAAGTTATTTTTATCAAAAGAATGGATATAAATCAAACATGAATTTTATTCCATTGTAAATGAACTGCTAGTTGATGTTCACATTATTATAACAGTATCAAAGCTGCCACTTAAAAACAATATTGACTGTTTCTGATTTATTATTATCAGTGTTCTACTGGATAAGAAACTAACCGTGTAGTGTAAGTGAATGGCTAGGCTAAAATTAACCATAAATCACATGTTACAACTGACAGTTCAGACATAACTTAAGAAGTAGTTAAAACTGTACCTAAATTATCAGTAAAGCTGTTTGGCCATTTGACTCATATTAATATGCTGACATGCAATAAAGTGTGTTGAAGGAATCCTCAACAATATTACAAGTAAAAAGAAACAAGCAGAACTGCTTGTAATAAAATGGTAGCAAACTATAAGCCACTAACTATAAGCCACTATTAGGAGCCTACTTATACCAACACTGCAACTAATCCAAAAAAAATTAAATTGCTATCCTATGCTCATAAACAGGACACAACTTTTTTATAGTTAGCGGGTGGACTGTGTTGCAAAAATCATTAAAGATACATTCTCTCAAGGGTGATTTGTTTAGCCTACCCTAATAAATAACTAATTAGGATCATGGAATTTCTGGCTTCTCTCAAACAAAGGTAGAATCTAATTAACCTAATAAAAACTAAAAAATTTCTATTAATAGGCAAAATAAATTGAAAATAGAAACAGTTTGTGGATTTTAATCCCTATTAGCCATTAGCCTATTAGGTTTGAATATAAAAATAGATCTAGACTCTAGACTTGATGTAACTAATATAGGGGCTTAGAAAAACGAAAATATAACCGTGGATTAGATTTAGTCATTAGACTAAATTAATAATCAATTGAAAATTATCAATAGGCCTAACAATAAGAGTATATGTACTACTTATATCAGATAATAGACTCTTCAAAAAACATACTGAGTTAGGTTGTATTGACAGTATTGTAGTTTTATGGTTTACTTAAGTTTACAAAATTTGGGTTATAGTTTATAGGGCTTTTCTGGGACTTGCAAGGGATAGCATGGACATTGGCACGTCATAATTGTATTTTAGTAGTAACACCCCTTTTTAAAGATTCTCTTAAAAGCATTGTGGCATAATCAGTGGCGTAATGGTGTCACACCCCAGAGGCATAGCGACCCTTCCCTGGGACAAACTTTCAAGTGTTCGATTTGCACCCCCCCCCCCCCTCAAATGTTAACACATACACCAAATAAGATCTAAATCTAAATTGAAACAGGTTTCTAAAGTCTAGTCTAGAGTAACGATTCGAGGTGCTATTTATGGGGGAAAAGTGTTAACTAACTTGTAACTACACTAGACAGAATGGGCTAGGCTAGATCTAGATTAGATCTAGCTAGATCTTCTAGATCTACTTGTGTCACTCAATCAAGTAACTAAGTTACTGTTATAGGTATGAGTGGGACAGTGAAATCTAGAATCTAGTCTAGCGTAGATCTAGATTTCTAGATCTAAACTTTAGTCTTTAGCTGCCTTAGCAGTTAGAAATCAGTGAGGCCAGTGAGGTTGGCCAAGCTGTGAGGACTGTGAGGCTAGGACTTGATTTTTTTAAAATTTAATTCACGGGCTACATTAATCAAGAAGTTGTGGTAAATCTACTCGATAATAATTTTAAAAACTAGGTTAGCCTAGATGACTGAGGGATAACGTAATTATTTATTGAGAATCAGTGAACTGGTGACCCAGCATCTTCATCAGTCAGTAGAGCAGGGTCTACTGACTGCTGTGGTGAGACGAATCGGAACTGAGCTGAGCGATAGACTAAGTTGTTTTTTTTTAGCATTTCCTCTGGCTTTTATAGATAAAGTGTTGGGTACAAATGAATTTCTAATTACGCTTTATGAAAGTATATACACAGGACTTACTGCCAAATACGCAGATTTATTTTCAATGAAGTAATAAGAGAAAAATCGAAATTATAATGCGCTAGAACACGTAAACCACAGTCTTCCTAGTGACATTAAATACGCGCATTCCAAGTGCGCAACTTCCGGAAAAATTGATTACATATCGCGAGATAATACGTCATTTATTAATATAACATTTTGAATAGGGCCTAGACTTGGTATAAAATGTGTGCGACAGTCAGAACAAAATTAAAATATCTTCGTTAAATCACAAGCTATTTAGTACATATAGTGTGCTTAATTGTACGTAATGGAAATCGTATTAATGACTTCACTTCTTAACGTTTCAACAAAATGTCTTGAAACTAGCACGTTTTCTGCCCAAGGGAGTTAATCCATCAGTTTCATTTGAAACCAGTTTGCTAATAGTTATTTCTCTTCTAATGCATCAGATGGTTTAATTATGACCAAAATGTAAAGTCGCACGCAAAAAAAATTGACACAAATTTTATATTTGTTAAATGAATAGAAATTATTGTCTCTCAAATTGTAGAGACATAAAAGTCATAATAAATTTTAATTTAAATATATGCCAAATACACGTGCATGTATATGAATATTTATAATCATGTGTATATGTGTATCAGAGGCGTAGCGACCCTTCCTGGCGCCCGGGTACAAACTTTCAATTTGGCGTCCCCCCCCCCGGGAGCAAATTTTTAATTTGCACCCCCCCCCCCTCAAACTTTCTTTCGATTTGCAACACCCTTCAAACTTTCGATTTGCACACCCCCCCCCCCGACCCCCCCCCCCTCAAACTTTTGATTTGCACCCCACCCCACCCCCTTAAACTATTTATAATGCAAAAATGCATCTAAAATGACATTTTAATTTGTTTCTACTACCCATTTTGGCGCCCCTAAGGTCGGCGCCCGGGGACATATGTACCCCCCTGCCCCCCATCGCTACGCCTCTGATGTGTATGGCTGGTTGTCACATTGTTTTCTGTATATTAATAAAGTTAACGTCATGGATCGTCATTTAAAAAAAAAGACTATTTAACGTAATTAGTTATTAACTGAACTAGCAAAAAACTATTTTTCTTCTGTAAATCTCGCAACTTTTGCTTTGGTGTCATCCCCCTAATGGTGTCAACATGGACAAATAGCCGACATATACAAGACCGACTGGACATCAGGTCAACCCCGTAAAAAACACCATATGAAAAAGTAAAATCCCTCCCCCACCCCCCACCTTATACGTGATAATTTGTGCACCATTTATAATTTGCAAGTGCTCACTTAAAGTAGTTACACAGACCCCCCCCCCCTCACCCCCATTACATTATAAATTTCGCCCTCCTAAAACAAAAGTTAACCCTTTATACCCCCACCCCAGAAGAGTTACACCCCCCCCCCCCCCCACACACACCGAACGAAATATAATTTATACAGAAAATATATACTTTTAATAGTGTCCGACCCCCCCCCCCTCCGAAAAATTAAATCCGACCCCCCCCCCCCCGGCTTATCTATACTCGGTTATTAACACAGCTGGATGTAGCATTGCTTTCTCTATAGTTAGTAGTTTTTCCGTCATAGTGTCACCTCCCCCCCCCTCCCCCTCCCCATCTTTGTCGGGCATTGTCCCTTTTGCTCTTAAAAAGACCATTTAACACTAATTTATCACTTGTTTAACTGGAATGATCACTTTTCTTTTTTATGTTTTTCTATTTTTGCCTTGGTGTCACCACCCCCCCCCCTCCCCATTAAGTACTGTCAACCGGTGTGGTCCAAATCCCCCGTCCCCTCCCACCCCACCCCTCGCTACGCCTCTGGCGCAGGTAAATCTGAACCTGATCCACACGAACATGAGAATACCTGACTTAAACAGCACCACGGTGATCTGCCCTTGCTAAAAATTGAAATTTAATTAATCATCTTTTAAAATTAAAATAATACTCTGTTTAAAAGTGGGCCAAATATTTTTCTATTTTAAAGATCAAAACGTGACTTTGCCTGACCCTAACAAAATTAAATTCACATCTTTGTTTTCATATGATAACTGTCTAAAACTGTGGTCATATGCTATGATGCAGCTGGGAAACTTAAAGAAGAACGCAACGTTTCTTACATTCTTATTTTTCGCATAAGCCTTTAATTTGCTACTGTGTAATGTAGGCATATATAGGTCTACACATATAAACAGAATAAAATTATTTAAAAAAAAACAGCGAAATGCGGCGAAAACATTCTTCTATTGTCGTCTGGCGATTTCACACAGTTCAATTAATTAAAGCATTATATCTAATCTAAGGCAGAGGCGTCGCTAGGTGGGGGGGGGTGCGGACCGCACAGGGTGACACCATTTAAGGGGTGACACCATGGCGATAAATTGCAAATATATACACACGAAATATGCTTTTTGTCGGTTCATTAATGATTAATTATTGTTGATCCATCTGTATTTATATCTGACTATAGATAAACATATTTACTATTAACTGTGCACACTAAAAACTACCATTCGAGAGAGGGCGGGGGGGGGGGGGTGACACCAACTGCAAAATTTACAGAGGAAATAATTTTTTGTTGAGTATTTTGAATAACTGATGGGTCAATCAACATCCGGGAAGGAGGTGATACCAAAATATAATAATTTACGAAAAAAAGTAGATTTCTCTATTTGAATTAATAGGTAAATTAATAAAATGTGAGCACAAATTGACGCCATTAGAACAGAGATAGAGGGATGAGTCCACTAACGGAAGACACATGTGTGTGTATGTGTGTGTGTGTGATTATGTGGATAGAGAGAAGAATCCACTAAAGGAACAGAGATAGAGAGAAGAATCCACTAAAGGAACAGAGATAGAGAGAAGAATCCACTAAAGGAACAGAGATAGAGAGAAGAATCCACTAAAGCAGGGGTCTCCAAACTTTTCAGTCCGGGGGCCGCATTAACTATCAAATTTCAGTTCGGGGGCCAGTTTCTTCCTGGCATGTCTTTGATTTTTCTGGGCAAAGTTCCTCAGCCATCACCAACAAACGTTTTTTTCCGTGGACAAAAAGATCTCCGCGCCGCATCTGGCCCGCGGGCCGTAGTTTGGAGACCCCTGCACTAAAGGAACAGAGATAGAGAGAAGAATCCACTAAAGTAATGCGAACCGCAAATTGTTAGGCTTACATGTTCTTGTAACCACGCGATGACGTCATTCAAACTTCATCAGAAGTAAATTGTGCTGTAGCTCATTGACACGGTTAATTCAAAACAAGAACGTGTGTACGGGCGGATGGGGGGGGGGAGGATATCAGCATCTTTAAATGTGTGTTTGTTTGTCTGTTTGTTCTCTCTCTCTCTTGAGTTGGCTCACATTTGTCCCAGCTGGTAATGTTTGTGTTGGGTTACCACTGCACTATTAACTGGCCAGAGGTACAGGCACAAACTCAAATGTCAAAGCTTTTAAAAGTGAACTCATGAAATTAACCTTCACGGTGTGGGCTAATCGTCCTTTAAATTAATACAAAGGGAGCCAACTTCATTAAACATTACCGAAGAATGTGGTGATTTCCCTTGCCACGCCCTGCTATTTTAAGACTAACAAAATGTTTTTCACGTTTGTGTGCTGGACTGTGCGACAGATAAGGTAAGATCTATGTCTCTTCAAGTTCTTTTTCTATAAATTGGACAACATACAAGGGAAATCTCTAGTACAACATTACTTTTAATTGTTTTTATAAAGGAGATCGCGTATGGTAGTTCATCAAAATATTGAAATATTAAAATAAAAATAATTTTCGAAGGTTTAACAGTATGTCACAGTCCTTTATATATATATATATATATATATATATATATATATATATATATATATATATATATATATATATATATATATATATATATGTATATGTGTGTGTGTGTGTGTGTGTTTTAGGCCGCTATATTTATTTAAATAAATGCATATATCAAACACCCACGCACACACACACACACACATTGATAGACTTATTTTCCCCATTAAAACATTAACATAGGTATATAGGGGTCGAGACATAGATCGTTCTTGCCTCATACACCTTAGTGTGTAGACTATCTTCTTCGCTCACTTGGTGTACCTTGGCCTATTTGATTGCTGTGGGTTCCATTATTCCTTAAGGACACGCTAGTCTAATTGGTAAACGTGGCTGAGGACGTTTCCAAGGCCAAAGTGTATCAAGACATAATGTGCTCATACAAACAACATATCAGTTGGGTGGAATCACATAGGGGAATAAAAACACGTCTGTTGCGCAATTATTCAACTTTCTTAACACAAGGCTGTACAACAGCTTGCCTGCAACAGCCAGCTCAGCTGATCAGGAAATATATTCAATTGTAATTGTAAGAAAAGCGCGATACTACGAGTTTAATAAACACCTCCATCCTCCCCCTCCCCCTGATTTCATCTAACTCGCCTCAGATTGAACAATTCTCGATGTGTTAGAAGATTCGGTACCCACAGCTAAATATTGACGTGTTATATAGAAGATTCGTACCCACAGCTAAATATTGTCGAGTTAGATAGAAGATTCGTACCCACAGCTAAATATTGACGTGTTAGATAGAAGATTCGTACCCACAGCTAAATATTGACGTGTTAGAAGATTCGTACCCACAGCTAAATATTGACGTGTTAGAAGATTCGGTACGGACAGCTAAATATTGACGTGTTAGATAGAAGATTCGTACCCACAGCTAAATATTGTCGCGTTAGATAGAAGATTCGTACCCACAGCTAAATATTGACGTGTTAGAAGATTCGTACCCACAGCTAAATATTGACGTGTTATATTGAAGATTCGGTACCCACAGCTAAATATTGTCGAGTTAGATAGAAGATTCGTACCCACAGCTAAATATTGTCGAGTTAGATAGAAGATTCGTACCCACAGCTAAATATTGACGTGTTAGAAGATTCGTACCCACAGCTAAATATTGACGTGTTAGATAGAAGATTCGTACCCACAGCTAAATATTGACGTGTTAGATAGAAGATTCGTACCCACAGCTAAATATTGTCGAGTTAGATAGAAGATTCGTACCCACAGCTAAATATTGACGTGTTAGATAGAAGATTCGTACCCACAGCTAAATATTGTCGAGTTAGATAGAAGATTCGTACCCACAGCTAAATATTGACGTGTTAGATAGAAGATTCGTACCCACAGCTAAATATTGACGTGTTAGATAGAAGATTCGTACCCACAGCTAAATATTGTCGAGTTAGATAGAAGATTCGTACCCACAGCTAAATATTGACGTGTTAGATAGAAGATTCGTACCCACAGCTAAATATTGTCGAGTTAGATAGAAGATTCGTACCCACAGCTAAATATTGACGTGTTAGAAGATTCGTACCCACAGCTAAATATTGTCGCGTTAGATAGAAGATTCGTACCCACAGCTAAATATTGACGTGTTAGAAGATTCGTACCCACAGCTAAATATTGACGTGTTAGATAGAAGATTCGTACCCACAGCTAAATATTGACGTGTTAGATAGAAGATTCGTACCCACAGCTAAATATTGACGTGTTAGAAGATTCGTACCCACAGCTAAATATTGACGTGTTAGAAGATTCGTACCCACAGCTAAATATTGACGTGTTAGATAGAAGATTCGTACCCACAGCTAAATATTGACGTGTTAGAAGATTCGTACCCACAGCTAAATATTGTCGTGTTAGATAGAAGATTCGTACCCACAGCTAAATATTGACGTGTTAGAAGATTCGTACCCACAGCTAAATATTGACGTGTTAGATAGAAGATTCGTACCCACAGCTAAATATTGACGTGTTAGAAGATTCGGTACCCACAGCTAAATATTGACGTGTTATATTGAAGATTCGGTACCCACAGCTAAATATTGTCGAGTTAGATAGAAGATTCGTACCCACAGCTAAATATTGTCGCGTTAGATAGAAGATTCGTACCCACAGCTAAATATTGACGTGTTAGATAGAAGATTCGTACCCACAGCTAAATATTGTCGAGTTAGATAGAAGATTCGTACCCACAGCTAAATATTGTCGCGTTAGATAGAAGATTCGTACCCACAGCTAAATATTGACGTGTTAGATAGAAGATTCGTACCCACAGCTAAATATTGTCGAGTTAGATAGAAGATTCGTACCCACAGATAAATATTGTCGCGTTAGATAGAAGATTCGTACCCACAGCTAAATATTGACGTGTTAGATAGAAGATTCGTACCCACAGCCAAATATTGTCGAGTTAGATAGAAGATTTGGTACCCACAGCTAAATATTGTCGTGTTAGAAGATTCGTACCCACAGCTAAATATTGTCGAGTTAGATAGAAGATTCGTACCCTCAGCTAAATATTGACGTGTTAGAAGATTCGTACCCACAGCTAAATATTGTCGTGTTAGAAGATTCGTACCCACAGCTAAATATTGACGTGTTATATTGAAGATTCGGTACCCACAGCTAAATATTGTCGAGTTAGATAGAAGATTCGTACCCACAGCTAAATATTGACGTGTTAGAAGATTCGTACCCACAGCTAAATATTGTCGTGTTAGAAGATTCGTACCCACAGCTAAATATTGACGTGTTATATTGAAGATTCGGTACCCACAGCTAAATATTGTCGAGTTAGATAGAAGATTCGTACCCACAGCTAAATATTGTCGCGTTAGATAGAAGATTCGTACCCACAGCTAAATATTGACGTGTTAGAAGATTCGGTACCCACAGCTAAATATTGACGTGTTAGATAGAAGATTCGTACCCACAGCTAAATATTGACGTGTTAGAAGATTCGTACCCACAGCTAAATATTGACGTGTTAGAAGATTCGTACCCACAGCTAAATATTGACGTGTTAGATAGAAGATTCGTACCCACAGCTAAATATTGACGTGTTAGAAGATTCGTACCCACAGCTAAATATTGACGTGTTAGAAGATTCGGTACCCACAGCTAAATATTTACGTGTTATATTGAAGATTCGGTACCCACAGCTAAATATTGTCGAGTTAGATAGAAGATTCGTACCCACAGCTAAATATTGTCGCGTTAGATAGAAGATTCGTACCCACAGCTAAATATTGACGTGTTAGATAGAAGATTTGGTACCCACAGCTAAATATTGTCGTGTTAGAAGATTCGTCCCCACAGTTAAATATTGTCGTGTTAGAAGATTCGTACCCACAGCTAAATATTGTCGAGTTAGATAGAAGATTCGTACCCACAGCTAAATATTGACGTGTTAGATAGAAGATTCGTACCCACAGCTAAATATTGTCGAGTTAGATAGAAGATTTGGTACCCACAGCTAAATATTGTCGTGTTAGAAGATTCGTACCCACAGCTAAATATTGACGAGTTAGATAGAAGATTCGTACCCACAGCTAAATATTGTCGAGTTAGATAGAAGATTCGTACCCACAGCTAAATATTGACGTGGTGGTTAACCAATGAAGACGTGCATGTGTGTAGTATAACAAAATATTCTAACCGGCGCTCATCACTTGTCGGTGAAGTAAACTAATCTAAAAGCTCACAAAAATATTCAATAAAAATAAAACTCTTGAGTCCAGCTGTTGAACGGCCATGGGCAGCAACATCATGACTTGTGTAGGAGTTGACGCCCCTGACTGAAAGGTTATTAGCCTTAGAGTCTATCAGCACGGGTAGGTCAGGTGATATTAATTGAGATGTATGAAACGTTAGATTCTGGTAACAGGCTGAGTTGATAGGATCAGGCAAAATAAGCAAATACATGGATCAATACACACACACACACACACACACACACACACACACACATATATATATATATATATATATATATATATATATATATATATATATATATATATATATATATATATATATATATATATATATATATATATATATATATATATATATATATATATATATATATATATATATATATATATATATATACTTGTGAGATTTAGAAGTCCACCCCATAGCACAATTTCTACGCCATTGATGCGCAATATTATATACACATGTAAATGTGAATCTGTCAGCCACTAATTAATGTCGCGCAGCCCGCCCACCAGAAGATAGAAGCTAACCTGACAGGTGAGTGAAGGTGTGTGTGTGTGATTTAACGGCTGGCTGCAATCTTGACCTAAAGCTAACCGTGGTCCACACCTCAACACATTGCCTCAGGTAAACACCGGGTCGTCTCTACAGAAACTTTCAAAGTCGATTCTTTTTTCGACCCGATACCTTTTTTGAAAGATATTATTACCGAATCGATTTTTTTTCTCGGTATCGAATCTGACTTGTTCTCGGTCTTGAGCCGCGGACATTAAATGTAGCATATCTCGAGATTTTGACAAGCGCGAGAAAAACAAAAAATGAAAATTGTCTTCATCTCTCATACCAAAACCCCATCCCTGAGATAGAATCTAGTATTGATATTACTTGGTTAATGCAAGATATTACACCAAATCAATTATTAACCAACAACACCCCCATTTATTGGACGAGTCTATTCTGCAGCAGTATAAGTATAGTGACATGCATCCTTTACTTAAAGATCGGTGTATCTATACGGCGGAGTACACGCTAAAACCGCGTGTTTACAAGACACGCTCTGCTGCATGTGTCACTGTACGACACGCTGTGGCGTGGAGTTGAGTGAACGACTGTGTTGTTTTCACTAGTTCGGCTGTTTGCTTGACCCGCCCGGATCTTAATGCTCCCACGGTAAGTGTCTTAAATTATTATGTTTACTATGGAATCAGGGACATAGCCGGGCACATAGCCGGGGACATAGCCGGGGGGTGGGGACATAGCCGGGGACATAGCCAGGTTTTTGGGATAGGGAAAACGGCGAGTGCAGAAAAGAAGGGGCGCCCTATATATATATATACAGTGTGTCACCCTGTGTCACAGTTTGTGTCACCCCAGAGTCACAGTGTGTCACCCCAGTGTCAGTGTGTCACCCCAGTGTCACAGTGTGTCACAACCCAGTGTCACAGTGTGTCACCCCATTGTCAGTGTGTCACCCCAGTATCTCAGTGTGTGTCACCCCCGTGACATAGTGTGTCACCCCAGTGTCACAGTGTGTCACCCCAGTGTCAGAGTGTGTGTCACCCCAGTGTCACAGTGTGTGTCACAACCCAGTGTTACAGTGTGTGTCACCCCAGTGTTATAGTGTGTGTCACCCCAGTGTTACAATGTGTGTCACCCCAGTGTTACAGTGTGTGTCAACCCAGTGTTACAGTGTGTGTCAACCCAGTGTTATAGTGTGTGTCAACCCAGTGTTATAGTGTGTGTCACCCCAGTGTTATAGTGTGTGTCACCCCAGTGTCACAGTGTGTGTCACCCCAGTGTCACAGTGTGTGTCACCCCAGTGTCACAGTGTGTGTCACCCCAGTGTCACAGTGTGTGTCACAACCCAGTGTTACAGTGTGTGTCACCCCAGTGTTATAGTGTGTGTCACCCCAGTGTCACATTGTGTGTCACCCCAGTGTCACATTGTGTGTCACCCCAGTGTTACAGGGGGGAACAGGGCATTTCCCCCCTGTCAATTACCCCCGGACATTTCCCCCCCGACATAATCCCCCCCGGAGTAATTACCCCCTGTCAATTACCCCCTGTCGATTACCCCCCGCCCAGTAGGACATTACCCCCCCCCCCCCCCCCGGACAGGGTTAGAGTTAGGGTTAGGGCTAGGTTTAGGGCTAGGGTTAGGATTAGAGCTAGGGTTAGGATTAGAGCTAGGGTTAGGGTTAGGGTTAGGGTTAGGGCTAGAGTTAGGGTTAGGGTTAGGGCTAGGGTTAGGGCTAGAGTTAGGGTTAGAGTTAGAGCTAGGGTTAGGGTTAGGGTTAGGCTTAAACCAATGTCTAGCGTTGGTTTTGGTTTTGTGTGAAGTTTTAGGCTAAGATGGATGCTTGAGTTTTGGTCTTTTTTTTAAGGTTTGGATCAAAGTAGTATATAGGTCTAGAATTCTAGTTAGAGTTAGGATTCTAACTTGAGGGGGGGGGGTAATTCCCCGGGGGGGGGGGGGTAATTGACAGGGGGGTAATTGACAGGGGGTAATTGCTCCGGGGTTAAATACGGGGGGAAATATCCGGGGGGGGGGGGGTAAATTCCGGGGGGGGGGGGTAATGTCCTGTAGCCGTTACAGTGTGTGTCACCCCAGTTTCAGTGTGTGTCACATTGTGTGTCACAGCTCAGTGTTGGAAACACACTTACTACACGCCGTAACGACGTGTGTTTAACTCTGTGCGCATCTCGATGTGTCATCTCTTTCCTAAATTTGTTTGTGAATGTCATTTACTTTTGATACATTTTGTCAACTACTCAAAAAATGTCTATAGACCTGCTAATATACTCCACATAAAATAATGTTCGTGCATCTGTAAATAATTTCGGCTAATTATATCCTGCATGGATAGCATGCCTTATCAAACATGCCATGCCCCAAAGTGAATGAAAAAATAAGTGTTTAAAATATAATACACACACACTCATAAACACACACACCAGTAAAATCTGCGTAAGTGCAACAGCATGTTAAAATGTTACAATTTTTAACCTATTCCAAGAGCCCTTACATTGGTATACCAGAGACTCACAAGAGTGTATGAACATGTTTTAAATCAGATGAACATGTTTTAAATGTAAAGATGAGATCAACGGTCTGGTTTCTGGTGTACCTCTTCGAATCCTCGCCTTTGACTCAGTGGCGTAGCTACCGTAAAGCTAGTGTAAGCAAGGCATAGGGGCCCAAGGCAAATAGGGCCCTTTTTCGAAAATTTGAGGGGGGGGGGTGCAAATCGGAAGTCTAGGGGGGTGCAATTCGAAAGTTTGAGGGGGGTGCAAATCGAAAGTCTGAGGGGGGGAAGGGTCGCTACGCCTCTGAGGGGCCCACTAACACTTTTTGGATAGGGGCCCAAAAATCCTAGCTACGCCACTGCTTTGACTGCACCACGAAGACACCCATCAGAGGGTACTTGAATCGACATCAGTGAACTTTGAGGGAGGGGCTAGGTCACGTGGTTGTTTGTGACGGCTTCAATCTTCTACCACACTGCCAACAGCAGACACAGTTCCACCAGAGCTAATATGCATGGGGGGGGTATTAGCAAGACTACAAGTCCTGAATCACTGCAGTAGAAGGATGTCTTACGTCTGATAACTGTTAAGAGATTTGTTAACTGATAGGGCTCTATTGTCAGTACTCTAACAGTTAATCCATAGATCTGCCATGGCAACCGTGTTTCTTTCAGGAATTTTACTCCGATGGCATCCCACCCCCTCCACCCGTCAAGAGATGCCTGAAAGAAACTCTGATTGGCACTGATCTAAAAACCCAATAATAACGGAAAGTGGACTTTTTCTGTAGTAAACGACAGGGCAAACTCGTGCCTGAAACCTTTACTATAAAGTTACATCCTTAGGTCTATTCATTTGGAGAGACAAGACCTACATCTGTAGGCCTATTCATTTGGAGAGACATGACCTACATCTGTAGGCCTATTCATTTGGAGAGCCATGACCTACATCTGTAGGCCTATTCATTTGGAGAGCCATGACCTACATCTGTAGGCCTATTCATTTGGAGAGACATGACCTACATCTGTAGGTCTATTCATTTGGAGATACATGACCTACGTCTGTAGGCCTATTCATTTGGAGAGAGAGGACCTGCGTATTAAAGATGTGTGATAGATACGACTTTAGCAGCAAACACTGCCTAGACCATATTTAACATAGTCGTCGTCCCTACTGTGACAGTGGTCTGAATGATTACATCGGCTAAAGTCTGTAATTGTAAGCGTCAAATCTGATAAGATAATCCTGTTTATATCCCGTCTTTCTAAAAACAGCCCTCATTTATTGTTTAATTTCGTGGAGGATTCAAGCTTTCATCTTGTGATCAACGGACGTAATCATACCTGTGCTGTAGACACCTTGACACCTGTAGACAACTTGACACGTGTAGACACCTGGACCACAGAAACCTTGACACCTGGACCACAGACAACTTTACACCTGGACCACAGACACCTTTACACCTGGACCACAGACACCTTTACACCTGAACCACAGACACCTTTACACCTGAACCACAGACACCTGGACCACAGACAATTGGACCACAGACACTTGGACCACAGACACTTGGACCACAGACACCTGGACCACAGACACCTGGACCACAGACACCTTTACACCCGAACCACAGACACTTGGACCACAGACACCTGGACCACAGACACCTGGACCACAGACACCTTTACACCTGAACCACAGACACTTGGACCACAGACACATGGACCACAGACAATTGGACCACAGACACCTGAACCACAGACACCTGGTCCAAAGACACCTGGACCACAGACAATTGGACCACAGACAATTGGACCACAGACACCTGAACCACAGACACCTGGACCACAGACACCTGAACCACAGACACCTGGACCACAGACACCTGGACCACAGACACCTTTACACCTGAACCACAGACACCTGGACCACAGACAATTGGACCACAGACACCTGGACCACAGACACCTGGACCACAGACACCTTTACACCTGAACCACAGACACCTGGACCACAGACAACTGGACCACAGACACCTTTACACCTGAACCACAGACACTTGGACCACAGACACCTGGACCACAGACACCTTTACACCTGAACCACAGACACCTGGACCACAGACAATTGGACCACAGACACCTGGACCACAGACAATTGGACCACAGACACTTGGACCACAGACACTTGGACCACAGACACCTGGACCACAGACACCTGGACCACAGACACCTGGACCTCAGACACCTGGACCTCAGACACCTGGACCACAGACACCTGGACCACAGACACCTGGACCACAGGCACCTGGACCACAGACAATTGGATCACAGACACCTGGACCACAGACACCTGGACCACAGACACCTGGACCACAGACACCTGGACCACAGACACCTGGACCACAGATACCTGGACATAAGACACTTGGACCACAGACACCTGGACCACAGACACCTTTACACCTGAACCACAGACACCTGGACCACAGACAATTGGACCACAGACACCTGGACCACAGACAATTGGACCACAGACACCTGGACCACAGACACCTGGACCACAGACACCTGGACCACAGACACCTGGACCACAGGCACCTGGACCACAGACAATTGGACCACAGACACCTGGACCACAGACACCTGGACCACAGACACCTGGACCACAGACACCTGGACCACAGACACCTGGACCACAGACACCTTGACACCTGGAACACAGACACATGGACCAAAGACACCTTTCCACCTGGACCACAGACACCTGGACCACAGACACCTGGACCACAGACACTTGGACCACAGACAATTGGACCACAGACACTTGGACCACAGACACCTGGACCAAAGACACCTTTCCACCTGGACCACAGACACCTGGACCACAGACACCTGGACCACAGACACTTGGACCACAAACACCTGGACCACAGACACCTGGACCACAGACACCTGGACCACAGACACATGGACCAAAGACACCTTTCCACCTGGACCACAGACACTTGGACCACAGACACCTGGACCACAGACACCTGGACCACAGACACCTGAACCACAGACAATTGGACCACAGACACCTGGACCACAGACACCTGGACCACAGACACCTGGACCACAGTCACCTGGACCACAGACAAT